CTAACCCTAACCCTAACCCTAACCCTAACCCTAACCCTAACCCTAACCCTAACCCTAACCCTAACCCTAACCCTAACCCTAACCCTAACCCTAACCCTAACCCTAACCCTAACCCTAACCCTAACCCTAACCCTAACCCTAACCCTACTCTCCGCTCCATCTTTTGATGGTCAACGCAATCTGTAACAAACAATGCACGGACATGGAAGAAATAGCCCTCTTAGCTGAAAGAGATCTTCCTAACGGGTCACAACTCGGCAAATTCTTTCGGAGCCAGATCACCGATCTCGCAAACGGAAATCAACATGTGGTGCCGCTCTTCTACGGAATTCCTAAAATACACAAGGAACCGGTTAAGATGCGGCCTATTATACCATGCCACAGCGCCATCCAGAACCCGGCAGCTAAATACGTGTCCAAAATCCTTAAACCGCTTGTTAAAGCGGCGCCAACCATTATACATGGATCCAAAGACTTGGCGATAAAATTAAGTCAAATTAAGTTAACCCCCCGGCGCAAAATATACATTGTGACCGGTGACGTCGTTGCTTTTTATCCTAATATACCTTTAAACGATTGCCTTGAGCACGTTCTGGAAATGTATGAGGAATTCTATGGAAACGCCCTAGAAGAGAACGACGATATGAAGCTCCGTTTAGAACAGATCTTCATTAAATGCCTTAAAACGGGTAACGAAAATTTGATCCTGCGGTACGATGATGCCTTCTTTAAGCAAAAATCCGGCCTAGCTATGGGCGTAGCGGATAGCCCCGACTTAGCTAATCTTTACGGTTACTATTTTGAACGGCAATTAGACTTAGAAAGCGATCCAATAGCGTTCTACGGACGCTACATCGACGACTGTTTAGCCATAGTTTACGCCGACTCAGAGTCGTCGGCGCTTAATATTATATCTAAGGTTAAATTTGACGGCTGCACGATAGAATGGGAAGCGAGCGATCACCACCATGAATTCCTAGACATGATGCTTTACATCGACGACAAAAACGCGATACAGCACATGCCTTACCGAAAGAGCCGCTCCCACCAAGAGAGAATCCCATGGGTATCATTTCATCCGATCACGGTAAAACGTGGAACGTTCATCGGAGAAATGTCCCGTTTAGCAACGCTAAGTAGTGTACGCAAGCACTACGATGATGCCATTCAGACCTTAATTGGTCTGTACATCTCGCGCGGCTATCCTAGCGAATTAGTATATCGCTGGACTAGAGAAAACTTTACAGAACGATGGAATAGTCGAATTCGGGTGACACCGAAGGAAACGGAGGATAACGGCGTTCTAGTACTTAAGTCACAGTATAATACAGCATGGGATTACTTCTCTGCACGAGAATTAGGAGATACAATCATGAATACCTGGCGGACTCGTATCGCATCGATCGAACGCCTGGGGACAGTTCCCCGAGATAGTGCCGTTCTCTACGGGCAGTATCCGGCTGGCAAGATCCCTTCCGAACTTTGTTTGGAAGTAAGATCCCCGGCCGGGCCCGCGGAGATCCCCGACATTAGAAAAATAGGTATCCTCAAACGACGAATGATCGTGTCCAAAAAACGGACACGCAATCTATTCGATATGACCAGTCTATGGAAAAAGATTGTTCTCTCACACCTCGACGAGGCCGAACTCGATTCGGATCATCAATCCTCGTCCGAGGAGTCAGTCGCTAGCATCGACTCCAACGATCGGACGGATATTGACCCGAATATCCTCGTCGAAATGTATAAATCCAAGATACCCGGTTCGCTTAGGATCGACAGTAAGTCGCGAGCGGCGGGAGGCTTAGAGTAGTTCGTTATAGCAAGCACGCTATCGCTAAGACCCGCTTCGGCGGCGAGCGGTGCCAATTTAGCGTGGCTAGATCTAAAACTCTACCATTATTTCTTACGCCCTAGATTCGCGGAGAGTCTGCGGCCGGTAGAGGGCTAATACGACAAGGGCCACATGGCCCCGAGGTAATACTCGTTCTCTAAACGCAGCGGCTGTAACCAGACGCTCTCGGTAGTACTTCCCTTTCGCTGTCTTCCGACAGCTTACCTGGTACACGATTTATACATTATACAGGAAATTCTCGTCTGACTTCCTCGCTTAGTAACTTATTAACTATCGCATTCTTCGACGATAAATAGGCTGGTGTGTCCAGCTGGCGGGCTAACCCTAACCCTCTAGTAAGTTATAGCGTAGCAATACGCTGCGAATGCAACTTAAACGTTCTGATTAAATTATCTAGACGCTAACTCTAACCGAGTTAACCCGAACGCTAACCGGGCCTACGGCCCGAACCTTGGTTATCGGTCCGCTTAATAGCGAAATGACGCAGCCTCCTCGGAGGGCGGACCGTTTATCGGGAATTGACCCGCTCCTAGTACGCCTCGGCCGAAAAGGAGACCTCGGCTTCCGGTCCGAACACCGGTTGGCATCTCTCGGCCCGATCCGGCACATTAGTCATATGGTATGACTAATCGGATCATCGGTTAGTATTAGTCATTTAATCTTACTAATAAATAAAAGTGGTCCCACTTTTAATATTACTAATGTCGCACCATAATGGCGTGATTTGTTGCAATTCGCTTGGCGAGCGCTGCTGGTCCAATAGCAATTGACCCGCATAGTCTTGGCTTGCGCGATTAACGGTCCCTGAAGAGCTTTAAAAGCGAAACAGGTCGGGTTGGCTAATCCCCATCCCCTGTTGGACCTGCATCGCTCTACAAGCAACGCAAACAAAGCCTCGGTGAGTGCTTGTGTTGCCTACTACTTTTGCGAGCCTCCGGCTCGCACCCCCCTCCCAACGCGGCTTCGCCGCGAAGGTCGGGGGGCTAACCCTAACCCTGGCCGTAATTAAAATGATTCAATTAAATGAGCTAGTTTTGCCAGCATCCTCATTGCCTTTTTTTTCGTTCCCGATAAGCTGATTGTAGAACAGAAGAACATTACAAGAATTCATGCCTCTCATGCAGGGGGCATTTGCAACACAGTCTGGCATTGCGGAAATTTGCAACCATGCTTAGGCATCGGTAAAAGAAAGGAACGAACAATTCATGGCTATTTACGAGGGGCTCGATCAGGGAGAGCAAAGGAGTTCTCCGGCCCTCATCACCTCGGGACCTGCCGCCGTTCACCTCCAGGACGAAAATCCTTTCGGATCTCGATATTCCATCATTTTACGACTTTGTACTCTATGTCTACGCATTGGTTGATTGTCAAAGGCACAGGCAATTCCCGAAGGTCACCAAGGATCGAGACACTACCTGATCTAGAACTTGCAGGACACTTATATAAACAACTCGAATACGACATTGTTCCAAGTATCACGCCCTCGTGTGCGATATTTTTCCTCTTCCAACTTATTACTAACAATATCTATCCATCTCTCTCTCTTCATCATGCCCGTGCTATACTCATCGACCCAGCAATTTACGGGTTACTTCAAGTCGAACGGCAGGAAATCTCGGTGCGCTATGGTCAGCTATGCACATAGATATGTTTCGGCCCTCACTGAAGCTCGTATCCAGCGGCCCGTCTCCGAAGAGGATGGATTCCCTTCTTCCTCCGCATTGAATGAAAATTCCACCCTCCTTCGCGAGACCACCATGCACGCACTCATCCAGGCCTGTCGGCTTCTCGTTCGGCGCGTCATAAAAGACCAAAAGATGTGGAGGCTCAACCACGAAGGCGATGTCGTCGTATATCCCCGTCGCAGCCTTCATGACAGCGACGGTCACACCTCCACCCTCCATCCTGATCACAAGCATAATTCCTCGCCATCTTTCGACGAGGAAAGCATCTCGAACTTCCGATTCTCTTTCACCATGCCTGTTCCTCCGACCTCAGGGAGTAGCGATGAGACTGAGAGTGATGGTTCGACGGAGATAAAGGGAACCAGCCACGACAGCTCATCGGAAGATAGTTCGAACGAGCAAACGGTCTGGCGAAAGTTCAATGTCCTCTCTTTTGTTCCTGATCTTTCTTCCGATTACTGCAGCAATTGAGCTCCATCTATGATATTTTATGACGCCTGCTTTTCGTGTTGTATATATGACTGAGGACACGCAGCTTTGATTACTTATTGCCTGTACTAATCGGCCTTTCTAATCCGACGCTCCCTCTTAGCCTGGAGTATTAGTATTGATTTACTTCCGTGCGTCCCGCCTAATTGATTTTGTTTCAAAGCTTATATATTAGATACATGCTCCAAGGACAGCTCTGAGGGTACGAATAAGCATATTAGCATCCACAACTGCGACTGGAACTTTCAAATTCTCGTTGCCTTATGATATCTAGAGGGACTTAAGTACCGAAAGTACTGACGAGATGGACATGGACATGGATGTTTTAGTTGCGAAGAGCCCACAATTCTAACTATTCAAAGTTTATGTTTACGGTAGGACAGATACTAGCATGTTAACCGTACATGCATCCTTTTCAGAGACGTGTCAGATCGTCGAATTCGAATCCTACGAAGTCCCAGACTCGCATTGGGAGTTTCGTCACCAGTACCGACTTTAAGTCACCGTATAGGAACAAGCGATCGGGGTAAGCTGAGCGTCCTTCCTTTTCCTGTCAACGCTGAGCATGAAAACTTGCATTTGCTCCCTGACTCCAAGTCCAGGCCTCGTTACGAGAGATAGAAACGCCATCGAGTGAATGCTTCACCGCAGAAATGCCGCACCCCGCACCCCGGATACAGTTCCCCACATTAAGTGTAAGCAAGCATGCTGGGATCCCATCAGGCAACGTATCGGTGGGAATGTTACATAAACGAAGAGGCTTCCGGGAACGCAGTGTTAGCGTATTATCGAGCAACATATATAGGCAAGTGCCAAATAATAAACGAATGTAAAGTAGGAGGGTAGACTCTTCGGCCTAAAACAACTCGATATGCAAAGAGTTCCAGGAAAAATGGAAACCAAAGTCGGCTATCTGGCCAGCCGATGACCCCCAAATTGCATCCATTCCACATAAGGCACGAATACAAACATAGTTTTGGTGGCCAAGCAATTTACGAGAAACATTTATATAGCACAAACATTGCGAACTAAGCAAGAGAGAGGTATGCCAGAATCGGTTGGGATATAATACACTCAAAGGCAACGAAAGGAAAGCATATGCGAGAAACAAGAAAAGAACATTCAAACACATCTACCGTGCCTCTTCCTCCTCGAGCGGCGGTACCGAGCTCGAGTGGTCACTATTCCCCAACGACGTCGGCGGCGACTCGACAACTTCTTCAGTTTTGAACCGCTTCCTCCCAGCACTGTCCTCAACAACTTCGAGTTCTTCCGAGTTTCGCTTCTTCAACCTCGGCTCGGGCGGGCTAGTTTCGACATCAACCTTCAGCTTTTTGGGCGGCGTTCCCGACCTTACGGGCTCCGCTACATCATCTAACGACCTCTTTCTGACGGGTGGGTCTGGCACCTCGGGAGATTTACGCTCAGCTGAGGGACTCCATGCCTCGTCCTCTTCCTCCGAGTAAAACTCTTCGTCATAATACGAATCATAGTCGAGCTCGTCATCGTCAGCCTCGACGTCGACGGCCTCAGGAGACGGTAGACGAATCTCCGCTGCAGCCGTAACAGGCTGAGCCGTATCCTCGGGTGCTATTTGAACCACGCCCTCCGCAGCTTTAGCTCGCTCGCATATCTTGCATCGGCAGTGATAGAGCGGCCGGCAGGCATCTCTCCATATCTGAAACATCCATCACGTCAGAACGGACCGCGAATGAAAAGTGAAAGACTCACTCCTTGGAAAACCTCCAAACTCTGCTCCGGCAGATGGATCAGCGATTCCGGAATATATGGTATCGGTCTCAAGAGCCGTGGAGGATCAAGGATAGGCGATACTGGAATCAAGATGGCCTCTTTGGGTGGCGGGGAAGGCGTCGTCTGGAGGGTTGATGTAGAAAGCACTGGGCTCGTAGTCGATCCGTCCGACTTGCTGGATAGCGAAGATTCGTCGCTACTGTTGTTTTCTTCCACGGTTCGCATCCGCTGTTCGTTCTTGCGTGCCTCTAGTCGGTCATTCCTCCTCCGCTCTAGCCAGTCGAACCCGTCAAACCAAACCGCCTCATCCTTGAGCTCGTGAACGACATCATCCAAAGTCATCTTGCTCGCCTTTCTCACGGCGTCGTACCCATCAGCCGCGCACTCGATAACCAATCTCCGAACAATATTCTTCATCGGCGGAAGGAGCAGCGTCCGGAGCTCCTTCATGTACGCGTAATTTGCGTGCTCGCACAGACTATATGACGGAGGCACGTCGCCCAAGACCGTCGCTTGCCGGGGATGCTCCTCGATGCTGTCGTCCTCCTCTCCACGCGTCCACGGGCAGGGATGTTCGGCACGAGATACTTCTAGCATGGTACCAGAGATCCATTGGTCGCAAGGTGTTACCCAGAACCCATCCAATATTCTGTTGCGCGCCCAGTCGCCTAGGGCCATGCTTTTTGCGCTATGATCCTCTAACGACCGCTGTTCGATCTCGGGATCCTCTTCCTCCTCCTCTTCGAACTCACTCGTATCCATATCGAGATCTTCTTCGCTCTCATGAGTTCGCATGGCTGCTCGGTAAGCGGATAACTGCTGGATGCCGTCCTCCCGTGTCTCGTAACGGTTCGCAGCGACAAGAGATCTAAATTGGCGCATCCTCGTCTGCTTCTTCAACCACAATCTGTCCTGCACAGTCTCGAGTGTCCGCCGCACGGAACCATCAGCGAAGGTGAGAAAACCCTCGACTGCGGCTCTTGCTTCGTCGTCAATATCTTTCGAACCCAGCATCCCCAGCGCCTCCTGATCTTCCACCCGTGCGTACGCTCTCCGAAACAAACCATCCTTGCGGCACTGCTTGCATGTCGCTTCGATACCGGGCCACGTTTCGACGTCTTCATTGGACATGCACCCGACACGGTCACGACTCAAGTCGCGCTCGCGGGTAGCTTCGCGATAACAGACGCCGCAGTAGCTCGTCTTGTGGCGATCGTGGTCTCGACAGATTCCAACGATACCCAAAGTAGGGAAACGCACAGCGCGCTTTGCTTGGCCGAGGCCGTGGTTGATGTGGGGGTAGTTTATCCGGCAAATGACGCATGAGTAGCTGAGAATGTTGCGATAGTGTTGGTAAGCGGGGAGACGTTCGGGATAGAGTAGACCATTCGAGCTGTTAGTGGTGGCGGTGGTAGGGGGAGCAACGAACGCGTAGTGTCCGAGGACATCAACCGGATCGAGGACGTTGACGGCATGGTGCCAAAACAGATGTGTTTCCACTAGAAAAAGATGCAGATCAGACAACATGAACTATTTCCCAAAGAGATAAAGGTGAAAAGAAGGGGACCAAGGCAACGCGAGGAAGGCAAGGGAAGGACTGGACGAGAACGAATGCAGCCCATGATAGGGACAGCAACCAAAGGCAGTGTAAGGAATGTAAACCAGTTCGGTGAGCCCATCAGCAACAACGCCCCGCGTATGTGGAACCTGTGCCAAGAGCACAACGGAAGAAATCAACCACACTATTCTGTGCGGGACGACGCCATCAACGATGAGCTCGACAACAACGACGCGCTTCATGAACTTTGCAGAGTTCACGGAAGAGTATTGGCAGATAATCGTAACGGGTTTGCGACTGCAAAATAGCGCCCAGGAACACGAACGGTCCCGTGAACGTATCGACGGCGATGCCTCCGCCTGCTAAACTCGTGCCGAGAAACGTTCCACAATGGAAGAAAGCAACAAAAATCTCCCCCAAGGATCCAGAATACAACATCGGCAAAATTAAAGTCCATCCGCCACAAGGATCGACACTCGCTTGTGGCGCCCCAGTGGTTACAGGTCCTCATGACGTCCCAAAGGCCCAAGAATCGACGATGGAGCATCCAAAGTGAGTGAGAACTCATACTCACGAGATTTCAGCCATTGCGGGCATACCGCCATGATTCTCTCCAATTCCATGCCGTCGCGTATTGCTGTATAGGCCATCCTGGCATGCCAGAGCTCTCGAAAGTCCCACATGGTCGGGTAAGTACGATTTGAGGACATATCCAGGATATAGAAGGTAGCGATTTGCCTAGAAGAAATTCGAATTTGAATACGCGACGACGAAGAGAACAATGGCGCTGTTCTCACCTGACGAGCTCTTCAGGGAGCTGGGCCCAGGATCTGTGGGTTATCTTACCCTTGTATGGCCCGACGTCGGGGCAGACGGTGGTCGACGACGAGGACATGGTTGCAAATGACGCCAAGCACGGTGGTCAATGCGCAGATTTCGGCAAACAACGATGACGGGAGCAAGAAGATACAACGTCAAATCAATTCCCACGCACAGACCGGATTATGGTCACGTGTTGTGCACAGCAATTTTCTTCTAATTATAGATATAGGAGAACACGGTAACCTTGAGTAAAGGCTCGGGTACAGCGGACTCCCGTGGGTCGAGTATTTAACGTACCAACGAGACCAACAAGAAACTGAGATTTCGTCGTCTTTTTCAAAAAACAGAATCATTTAGATCCGTCCAAATGGCCAAATCAAACTTCCGGAATTCATTCTGACTGAAGATCATTATGAATAGCTTTGGGTGGACTATAGTTATCGCTTCGATGGAGTGCGAGAGCCGAATCATCACAAGAACCTCGATAAGCGAACCTGAGATGTACCTTGTGACTTTCAATGGATTATTCGCCGAGTTACGGTCAGACGTTCCCGACTACGGACCTACGGACCCGTTGAAATTTATAAACGCCGCAGCGGAAGAAAAGAGGATCAGAAGTTGTTATGTGCCTGGTTGACGGAATTTCGCCCACCCCAAAACAGTGTTACAGGCAATACGGAGGGAGCAAGGCAGGAGCGCGGAGGGTGCGACAACACAGAAACAGGCATAGATTAGCTCGCTGACAGTGGAAGCAAGTGCGGCAGGTCAATGGAACAGAGAAATACGCGAAACTCCAGTTAACACTGCTGAATTAGCACAGATGTCGACTTTACGAGCTAACGAATACTGAAAAGGGGTCTGATCATCGAACAGTGGACGTCATCGGTCCACCCCTATTTCGTCATACGTATGTCATCTTGAGATCAGGAGCCGTCCTGAGCCGTCAAGAGTCCATGTCGCCCGGAAGTCAGCGTCGCATAGCAAAAGGAAAAACGGAGGGCACTTGCCCAAGCCCTGTAAGTCTTGCGGTCCGTACCGCATGGTATTCGCTGGTGTCAGGTCGCCGAGAGAGCTCGCATTCCAAGACTTTCCTTTGCTCTGTCCATCGAATCAACAGGCTTCAGAAAGAGACAGGTAAGTACGTCACGGCCCAGCGTTATGCGACCTTGACGATGCAGCGTGCTCGACCACTGGTATATGGTAACCCCAGGCTTTTTACTCGCCAGCCGATAATTAAGCCATCCTGTGCTGCAGAATGCGTCCAGGTCTCGACGTAGCACCGTCAGAGTCCAGGTCTGACTTGCCGACCACGTAGTCTCATTGCCTTACGGACATAAACTGGATTCCATAGCAACGGCGACGACCAGTACAGCAGAAAATGTCCGCAGTTGACAAGTGCGAAGACCCTTAGATCGAAGGAGGGAATTTGTAGCTTCTGCGAAATGAAGCGCGCATATATTAGAACAGGGTAAGGACACATGGACGTAAAACTCACCATATATGATCCGGGAGGGAATCTGCATTTCGACGAATATATACGCATGGGTTCCAGAGAAATGCCAGAAGCAAGAATGTCGGAGGAAGCGGCCTAACCGTGGACGTTATGGACCTTCAGCAATACCGTGACCGATATCTTGGAGTAGCGAAAGAAAACGAGCACGGAAGGGGGTTCTCGATCACGTCCACAGCAACACTTTCAGAGAGCACGTCTCCAGAAATACAGGAAGGGATTCTGTGGTGAGGCAATATGAAGACGTGATATCGCAGACCGAAAGTTTCCTTGTACGCACATTTAGACACACAACCAGTCTGGTGCCCTTAGAGAGATACCATCGCCTTCATGCACGGCAGCCGTAGACAGAACGCCTGGTATGAACAGCATACATCGAGTTTCATAAACCTTGACGCGGCATGCGTTGCGCGGCACCAGCTCACATACCGCCCATGCTGTTACGTCTGCGCTTCAGGGACATGAACTGAGTTGATACAGACAAACAAACTCACTATTATCAAAAGTCTGACATTTCCTGGACCAGTGGACGCCGAATTCGGGGAAAGGACCAAGCAGCGAAGAAGGATGATGGAAGTAAGAAAGAAAGCCGGCTCCCGATTCCCGATGCACTGCGTTGCCGAAGTTCGGAGGCGCGCCGTTAAGCCGACAATGCCGATTACTGTCGGCAATGACCAGAATCAAACCAGAATCGGAATGTACTTTGTGAGCTTCTATAGCACCGGTTAACGTCTAACCCTTGTCTGACCATGTAGACATCGTATGCGCAAATCGGAGCCTGGCTTAGCCTCAAGCTGGACCATCCCGGATGCGGCCCAATAAATAGACTGGTCTGCTCAAATGCAACACTCCCTTCTAGCCAGCGATTTCAACTGCTCATTCGCCCTCAATATTCTCAATCTTCAGCATAAACCTGATGTTTGATACTCTGAGCAAATCCTTCGCCTCGAAGGTGTAAATTACGCGAATCGAGAAATGCATTGATCAATCATTCACCGGTAATAAATCAACTCAATCAGCTTCCAGCAGCAGATAGTAACAACAGGATGTATCATACACAACATGCCGGGGTTTTTTTTGATGATGGCCACCTATTACCTTGAAACAAAGAACTATATTGGGCACTTCCCGGTTTGAAAATTTATTGTTCTCGCTCTCTTCCGAGTCCCGAACTCGTTACTCGCGTACTCGTGGATCATACGAGCGAGGCTCTAATTCTCCATTTCACTCTTCGGTTATCAACACACAAGACATCCAAGAACCACTGCTTACGACTCCGCGACGCGATAGTATCCATGTTCATGCATAAATGTATCTCCCATTCATCGTGAAACCATTCTAATTTCAGTCAAACTTTCTTGAATTACACATGAAGTCTACTTCTACATTCGGAAATCGTTGTTTCTTCGACCTGGTCTTTCCTCGGCGTAGGCGAAGTAAGGCAAATCCTTTGTTATCTAAATTTGGCCATTAGTTTCTAAATAATTCAATAACGTAGATCCCATAACTGATATGTCGCATCATTGTTGACAGTTAGAGCTCCTCCTACGGGGGAACACGATGCAACAGAGAGGTAAAATATGCCAACGTCAACTAGTCCTCGACTGAAGTTATAGCAATAAGAATTATACTCGTCTCGCATTGACCATCTTCGACCGTCGCCTGGACAACACGAAATCGGCCGTCCCACATAAAGATTTCTCCCATCAATGCTGCGTCCATACGAAGACCTCGCTTCAGTGGCCATTTTCGGCACAGCATTTAACATCAGACCCTGCCTGCCACAAAGTAACAGCACCTCCAACCACATTTAAGCAGCACTCCCCACAACTTCAACTTCGCATTCCCATCAAACCCACACCCCACCATGTCATCCACGCACACCAATTCCGAAACAATTCTCCTCGGATGGAACTTCCCCACCGACTCCATCTACCTCCCCTACCATCATAACATCCCTGCTCACGAAAATATCTTGCGACGCCTCGACGCCGGGGAACCCATCAACGTCGAACTCCAATTCCTTTTCCACGAGTGCCCAAATATCGGCATAATCCTCTCCTGGATATCCAAGTATCATAAAGCCCGTACGGTCTCCATCAAAATCTACCGCTGGAAAACCCTAATGGCGAACACCGTCTCCCTCGCCAATGCACCTCTCGCGCCCCTCACAGCAATCAGGCTCACCGAAGGCATCGACTGTGACTCTTACCCTCCAGCGATGGTCGAATCCCTTCTTGCCTACTCCCCATCGACACTTCAAGAGCTCACTATCAGTTGGGTCAACTTCCACCGCACCTTCCGGACTATACATCGGAAAACCTCCTTCCGCGGAGCGATGCGACCTAGGATCATCGACCTGGACATGAGCAGTGTATCTCTCGTCTACGTTCTCGAGTATCTAGGTATCTTGATAGACGAGGATATCCTCAAGGTCGACCAGCTCAAGAGCATGACCATGACTCTAGGGTTTTACGAGTTCTTCCTGGAGAAGCATGCGGACCCTCAAATGTTGGCTGACTGTGTAATCCAGGCATTAGAGCGATTGTATAGGCGAGGAGTGACGCTCGAGATGTTGAAGGTTACTGATGCGCTGAAAAAGAATGGTACGCCACTGTGTCCCAAAATTTAACCGAGTTGTGCTCACCTTTCTCAAGTGATAGTTCAACACCTGGCTAGTAGAATTAGCACCAATTTCTCCTTTGCTTGAAGCCAAGAGAAGTGATTAGACTCTCTGGCACGGACACAGTGATCCTCGGGGTGCGTTTCGAGGAATGTGATAGCAACACAGGTAGAAGGTAGGAGTCGAAATCTAGTAGAGGAGTAAAGTCCGTCCCTATTGTTTTGAATTTCGATATGAGTCCTAGTTTTTCCTTGGTGATAGAAAGTAGAAGTTACGGTGATATACCAGGGCTGGACAGCACTGCGGAAATAATTCGCTGACCGCTTCGTAAGGGAGTGATCAAAGGAGACAGAAAGTTGTTGGTCGTTAACTCTTTTGTAAGGACGTGAAGGACGCCAGATTAATATCCGCATTTCAGCAAAGAAGAATTAAGTATGAATACGAAGGTCTTAACGCGTCGCCGGGCGGCCTGAGTGGAATATCGAAAAGGAGACAAGGAAGGCTCTTGAAAATTTTACTTTCTTCGTACAACGAGAGCGAATCATTCACTTTATATATCAAAGACTTGTACGACAGGGCAAAAAGGACATGCCACAAGTACAGGGGAGTACTAATCGATTTGCACGATAAGTATTAGCACAGCTGCAGTCTGCAGAAGGGCAAGCATACGGCAGTGGCCTAGATCGCCAAAATGTTTCCAGGTGCGAGAGGCTACCTGTTAACCGTTGCAGGAAAGGACATTATACAATGTCTGACGCGTACCGTGCGCATAGGAACAGGAACGAATCCTACGTAGTCAGTGAGAATTTCTGTTGGGATTTGGCAATCCGGCATCATGCCGAAGTTGCTTATTAAGGTAGAAGTCTGAGGAAAAGCGTGGAAAGTTCTAGTAAAAGTACATTTAGTATAAAAGTAGGTACTGTAGAGTAGATCCTCATGCGTTTGCAGAGCTCAGCCAAGCGCAATACTATTGGCTTGCTACCGCGCATGTGACACTGGGAACGAACCGATACCCCGTTTTCCAACAATTTCCAAAAAGGTAACCCGAGCAAGTGGCTGTGCCCTCGCGGGCGCTGGTCGTTCTCTTTCCTTATTGGGAGCTGGACCTTGGCCTTGAATTTGACTTCTATCATTTCACCGACACACCATCTACTCATTCTTTTTAGCATCGCGAAGAGCGTTTCTCCCCAAGAGGTGAGTCTTATTGTGCCACATGAGAGCTCACATGAGATGACGTCGAGTCGATTTAGAGAGTTCCAGTGGTAACGTAGCATCATCGATGACATCATTTATGATGACTGACGCAAAGACCTTTTGCCGAGCAGGAACGCCTCCGAAGTTCCTGACTACTTCATCACCGATGGCACCATCAGTACTTGCTGAAGTGTAGTCGTCTGTAGGCGGACAGTCACCCTTGTTAACCACGGTTCGCTTAACACGTATCCCAGGGTAATCGATCTAACTCGCGGCCGCTGTCCAACAATATGTGAATCTTCTTCATATGCCCCACTGGCTGGTCCAAAACTCCCCACCTGTAGCAAAATGCGCCTCCCACCAGAAATCACCGACAGAGTCATTGACGAGCTCAGTTATGAACATCAGACACTCTCGTCGTGTACCCTTGTCTCCCGAAACTTCCTCCCCCGCTCTCGGCTCCATTTCTTCCGACACGTTATACTCTCCACGCCTCAATCATGCAAAAGATTCCATGAGCTCATTTTGAGCAACCCGTCTATCGCCTCTCTTGTAAAATCACTAGAGATCGACACAGATCCTAGATACAAATGCAAGGAAGACATACACCTCCACGAGCTCATCGAAAGGGCACTATTTCAAAGCTCTTCAGACCGTCAATGGGTTTGTAGAGATCCAATTCTCCAGGACATTCTTTATCTGCTACCAAACGTCACTTCTCTCACCACCGGTGCAATGCGCTGGAGGAATTTCTCTCGCATACCTACCGCTCTATCCTTCGAGCGTGCCCTCTCTTCTATTGCCAGTGGAATTACCACCCTCAGGCTCGATTATGTGCACTTCGATTGCCTGACAGATCTCCTTGACATGCTCAGCGCATTCACGAGGCTCAAGTCGCTTTGCCTGGGCACAATAATCGCAGCCCCTTTCGCCGCGACCGACGCGGAGCGAGTATCGTTAGGAATCGAGGAGCTTGAGATGGATATGGAAGGAAGTTCCCGCGTAGTAGAGATGTTCTTGCTGCGAGCCAAGCTGGAGAAACTCCGTAGGCTGAGGGTTACGAAATATTTTAGCGTGCAAGTAGAGCTCGTTCGGGCGCTGATGGACCTGACGAAGGATTCATTAGAAGATTTGGAAATGGGAACGTGTATTTTACCAGCCGACTGGGGTACGTCACAATTTCTAGACGCTTGTGGCATTGGTCCGCTAATTGCCTCTGAAGCAAAGAGGTGCCCTCCACTCGATGTGAGCTACCTTAAATCACTTTGGATTGAGCCTCCATCGTGTTCTCTGGCACAATGGTGGGCGTTGTCTTTGGAAAACGCGGATGCAAAAAACATAAACCTAGTCGTGAAAGACTTCGACACGTCACCGACCTTGGGAAGTTCAACTTGATACGCGGACTAGCAGGTTTTGTTTTAGTCCTCGGGGAAGATCGTCGCTACATGTATAATTTATTTATAGGCGTTGTTATAGCGGAGAAATATGTTAATGATACGGTAGAACTCATTGACCTATGGCACTTGATTATGAGCTGGAACGACAAATATAATATTAAAGAATCCCTCACCATCGCGATGGAGGTTTCTCCGGATAAATACCATCATTTCCTTTCCGTGGGTATGAACGCAATGTGTGATACTGCAGTAAGCAACAAGTTCCGCGCAAAGGCTTCTGAGCCAGGACAGAAGAGGTATTATGTTGGATCCAATACTGGCACGACAGCCGATAGTCAGTGTCCATGCGACTCGGCAACTTGTTGAGAAAGATCTGCTAGCTGCACCATTAGAAGAGGAGAAAAGCGAAAAGTAACATGACGCCATACCAAATATGTCCGATTGTCCCGAACTATAAAAGGTGATTCGATAGCAATCATAAGTGAATTATTTGCAGTCGTTTCATGAGAGGGTTTGATATACAGAAAACCCAAGTCGTGAAGACCTGGCTGCAAGTCCAGTGTACGTTATTATCCCTTTGGTGAATAATGAGAGAAAGCACGCCGGTGATCAACGACGAGGGGTTCTCCTTTGAGAATAACATCAACGATGCAGATATCGGGGAGCCGCGACGCCATCCACTGACTGCTCAAAATCAAGACAGGTTCGTTACCATCCAGCCATGTCATACAGGAGGGTAATACCATCGTGGCCCAACCTGTCGCAGGTAGGTCGAGATATCGTGCTACGGTTATGTCTTCACTAGGATATATATCCGGGTCCGGCAAGGGTGCGGCGATACCATCACATGCATCCCGTACGAGTTCGGACGGGAAGGTAATATCAGGATCTCGGGAAGATGAAGATGTTAACGATTGAAAGTATTCCAGAAACGGCAAGCCTGGTCGCACCGAGGATTGCTCCGCAGTGAAAGAAATTGAATTGGCTTATTTTACCTGAGACCGCGCCTGCTCTCAGCTTCCTGACCTGTGACAACCGCGTTATTGTGAAGATATGGCCACAAGATCTGGTAAGCATTCCACAGCGCGCTTTAGTTGGAGTTTCAGGGCGTATAGAGCTGGCCACGCACCACTATTCGAGTCTTAGGCGGCAAGACCTTGTTTTCCTGCTGAGCAAAAGCCAAGTCCATTATGGGGCGGAAGGATAGAAGCGGAGATCGAATACAAATGGATATCGACAAGACGCGTGCGTGGTCTTCGTAGAAGAGGCGCCTGATGCCTTTTCGCTGCAGCTTCCCTCCTCACTATCACCATCTCCGGATGCGCCTTCTTTGAACCAGTACTCTCGACTCTATGGCTGTAAACGTAACAAATACATACTACGCTCAACACTTTGAAATTATGCCGTGACAAGGGAATACCTGAACGTCGGTCCAGCACATCCGTTCTCATTCGCAGTGTCCTCACTCCCTTGACATCGTAATAAACCCTCGCTTGAGAAACCATAGTCTTTCCTTTGAAGGTGGAGTGACTGGAGGGTTTCTTCTGGAGGGTGTCACCGTGGTACGTCGCGTGTCTCCCAGCTTTAGCCAACATTTTCATTGATTGTTCATTAGGATGTCCGATTCGCGAAAGCAGTTCTGGTTTTTTGAGTCTCGTCCGTCCTCCTTAACTCACTCTCGAGGTGATCGGTTCAAACAATTGCGTAGATTTAATATGGCGTTAGCTGTTCATATCATTGGGTAGTACCCAATGATATGGACAACTGTACCCAGTGGGTACAGGGTCCTTTCTTGCTCACCACAGCAGAACACTGCTATCTTTCAAGATGAGAACGAAAAATTCCTCGCTTCCTGCTCTCCGCTTGCGATATGCTCCCCTCGTCGTCGGATCTCCTACCCTCATTTCTCTCTATGACATGTCACTTCCGCCCGGGGGAACGACATCTGCTGCTTTAGGGATATCGATGACTTTAAGCATCCCAATTTCCTATCCGGAATTTGCGCTTCTCCCGTTTCTAACACCCCATCCACGCTTCGGTGGGTATTTTTCTACGCGAAGACTTCCTGTTGTAGTGGCCGCCTTACATACAGTATGCTATTTCAAAGCTTTTATGCAGAATCATTGCATTCAAGTAACACTGCGAGCATGTTCTCAAATTTTTACGAATGGGGTTTGGTCTCAGATGCACAGAAACGAAACAGTGAAGATGGGTAATCAAATTCGCGAATGATCTATGTTGGCGCGTGGGGGTTGTGGGCCCATGCAGAGGCTATCGAAGAGATCGGTAAGATACCTCAGGCATGGATGGCACGGGAGAAAAGTGGACGTCAGATGAATGTGAGGGGAATGCAAGTAGTTCAACGCATTTTTGTCGGCACATACCAGTACGTTTGATTCCTCTTCTCGTGAACTTATTACATATTTACGTTCGATAATATGTCCAACCGTATTTAATACATCTCTGAATATGATCCAGAATGCGCAATCATGTTATATTTGGGACGAAATGTCTCCTGTTGTCATACGTCCACGCACGATATCAATCTCTTCCCTTCCTACAGCTATCCTCGAAACACACCCGCGGCCCTACGAGCACGAGAGGTTAGAAAGAAACCACCATTGAAGGTCGGTTCCTTACGGTAAGGTTATGGTGCTTCCATTATCGTGCTTGATACGAATCATTTGCATACCCTGCACCCGTCAGGCTGAAAATCCCATTTTGAGAGAAAGAGATACTCACGTTTGGCATCCTGCTGGTGGATTCAACAACACCTCCAGTGAGACGTCCAGTCGAGTCATAGAAGAAGACACGCGAACCAACCTAGAGGGGGAACGTGGTACAGGACTGAAGGGATGGAATAATAACGCACTGCAAACGATGACATTGTATGGAGGGGGGGGGGGGGACTTTCACTGGAATGCTCGGTGTACGCGATACATCGATATAAGTACCTAGTCTTTCGTAGTATATTAATGAACTATGAACATCGGGTCGATGAATGCAAGCCAGCTGGAGAGATATGAAGCAGACAATGCCTCGGAAAATACGTTGAAACAGTTAGCAACAAGATGAATAGATACATTATCCCGCGAGAATCAATCCGACATGCTCGGTATGAATACATTATTTTTTAATTCCACTCTTCTTTCGATGTATTTCCTGCAACAAACAAAGGAGAATTTTTGCGTCCCTTCTGAAATCCATTTTCAAAGACACAAAATATATCACTTATTCCAATACTTAGCATGCAAAGTGTTTAAATTTCAACTCGCAGAATTCATCCAACATTGTATGTAGGTATAAACTTGGTCTAAACGCCACATGTAATTCCGATCTAGGATCAAAGAACACAGGACTAAAATGCCCGTGGCTTGACAGGAATGTTTAGACGGTAAGAATATACGCTTGTATCTCACACATTAAATGGCTCTCGAAGACTTAAAATACTAAACTATTCCCGCCACATCTCGCAAGGATAAGAGGATGCATGCAGTTCATTTCTCTATCGCTGAATCCAGCTCATCCAGCCTGAACAAAGCAGTGTTATTATATACATATTTCAGAGTTCAGTCTCCCGGGATCCTCGACGATAGAAATAAAGACTAGCTGTAGAAAGGCATGCCGCGGGTATCAATGCATCGTTGTATCTCCCCATGTGTTCCAAGCATATCATGGTCTAGACAGAGAAGCTCATGTACGGAGTGGCGAGAAGCACCTCCAATTGGGCTGTATGGTTCATCAAACCGTTACCCCAATCTAGTTCAAGGCGGAAGGTTAAATCCGGTGTATTCATCTGTGACTGATTGAGTATGACGTATTCCTTCCTTTCCAATTCTTTCTCGCAATATTCCTCCACTCTATTATGTCGTTATCGTAAACAAGGCCGTAAGAAATGCTCTTCAAAACGTCATGCATGACGTAGCTTCTCCTGTGACAACTTCCAGTGTGTGTTGGCTGTGTTAACATTTTGACCACAGCAGCTCATACGCCAGAATTATTCTTGCTCGGAATGGATGTCTATGATATTTCGGTGGACAGTTGAAACGGTTCTCGACAAGCCTAGTTTAGCATCAAAAGGTTGCGATAATGCATGCCAGTACATCAGTGCGATAAACCTACAAAGCAAACACTTCTCCGTGATCGCTTCAGCTAGGAAAACATGCTGACTTTGCGTTGCTTTTGCAAAATATATTAAATACCGATGTTTCATTCCCCTCCATTGCAAACACGCGAGTTTCTGTGGAAGGGTCCTATACGAGAACTTGGTTAATTGTTTCTCAAGGGCCGACGGAATGTTGGCTAGGTGGTACGTAGAGTAGTCCAGGAATGTAAAACTGCGTGATCAAATTGGAGACGATGTGTTAACTGACGGAGGTCGCTAAACATGATTTTGTGCTCAGAAAATCGTGAATGCGGAGAACTATGAAACGTCATTCATGGAAGAAAGGCTGTAGAGCAACATTAGCACAAAAATACGTACATGATAACATGGTTTACCTAGTACAGACTACAAAATTAAGATCCAGAAAGGGAAGTAAAATAATGAACATATGAACATTGCAGTGATAAGCAGTCTTCCAGACTCAAAAAGCAGGAACAGATGGCAGGTGCGTGAACGTGACCTTGGCGGGGCTTCGAGGTGCCGTACAAGTAGAATTACTACAGGTAACCTCAGACCTGTCCACCGCGACCATAGAAGGGGTCGAGCGTATCTGTCTTATGGCTATCGGCTATATTCAAACACCTTCAATCATGATGGAAATACGTTAGTCTATATGTGAATAGGTAATCAGTATCTTTCAGACTGGTAAAACGGGTTAAACCAGATGACAATGTAATTGTGAACCGGAACTCCGATAATAGAAATGTCACCGCTCAAATATTTCAACATAGAACCATCTGACCTTCCCATTTCACAATGCCGAGTAAAGAAAGTGTCTGAAAGTACTGGACCGTGACCACTGACACTTTTTCAAATTTCCCATCCTGCCTTGGCTTACCAACAGCCCAAAATGTCTCGTTCGACCATCCTCGAGCACCTATGAGTGTATACAAGGCATCGGGTATTGGGTATTGATGGTCTGCGAGGATACCGAACCTGTGGGGTGTTCCATTGTGATCTTTGACGATCAATTCTCCCTGTCGAGATTCCCCTTCATCGGACGCGTAGGCAAGTCCTCGCACGTCTCCAGGGTCGATAGAGGGACCCTCAAACCAGTCGGTATCTGTCTCCTCCGTCCGACCAACTTTCGATAACCAGCCTAACCCACTACAAGACCGAAGATTCGTCTTTTTCATTGTCTGCTCCCATGATGGTCTCCAATACTTCTTTCTGTTCCCGGGCTCAGGGTAGAGGAAGAGCAAGTCGGTCCGCGACCAATACGCCATGGCATCCACGAGTCCTACCCAGGCGTCTTCTTGCGGCTGCAACGCGTCATATATCGGCATATACCGTGAGTCGAGAAGGTATACCAAGCCCACTACTCTATCCATGGGATTTGTCGAGACTCGTCCCTGCATCTGCGACAGGACGTCTACTACTGAATTATCTCTCCGCATTAGTTGCAATGACGCCAGTTGTCCGTGGAATTTCGTTCGTATCTCCTCTTCCATGAAGCGATTATCGTCAGTCTCCCCACCAATAATTGAATCATCGCTGGTCTCCTGCAGCGTCCATGCTCGATTGAACCAACAGCGTTCACTCTCAAGGTCGCCTGGTTTCAAACTAAGAGGTCGACCCAGTCCGCTGAAATAGCACGTCACAGACGTGTCGCGATACACCCACCCAATGGTGGGCACGTCTAGCTTCCACTCCTCGGCGCGCAAATGCTCTCCTTGCCCACCCGCCTGCCTTAAACACAAAACATCCAGCCACGCATACTCTGCTCCAAGGTTCAGCATTTCTATCCGGATGAGATTAAGGTTGGCGTCCTTTGGAATAGATACAGGCCACTCGTATCCATTTATAGGTGTCCACACATCAACGCGCTCTTCGTCAGACATCCACGCATGTGATATACCCCACGGGCGTCCAGGTTTACCCCGTGTAGGCTTGTCTATACCCATCATATCCTTTTCCGCGACCCAGTATGGTACGACACGATTGGCAAATAGATCCCAGACGCGCCGAGGGGGTACATTCCCCCTGGTGATCCTGCCATTGACGAGTGCATTTCGTCGCATGATGCAGTCCGCCTCTTCTCGGGTGCGTAAGTTGCTTTCCATGTGTGCGATATCAAACCAATGCCGGCGTAAATGGGCGAAGGCGGTGCCAAAGTCGTCATTACGGACGATGTAGGGTTCGAGAATCCAGCGTAGGTGTGCCGAGTTTTGATCCGGGTGCATATTTTCCCCAGGCTCCACAGAGGGGTCGCGTGTGAACAGGGTATCTGCACAGTATGACGTGCCAAGTGTCCCGTTAAGCTCTTCTAAGATTCCATCGGTGTCAAGGTCTGCGCAGGGAGTGTTGGCCAGAACGGACGATATGATTGGCTTTCTGCCAGTGTAGAGTCGTTGCTTTAACACAGGAATGCTTGTTTCTTCTTGACCAGTCTCAGCATGGGCGGAGAGAGTAGTCTATGGAAGGCTGTTACACCTGAGTTGTCCTTCTCTGCCAGCAAATTACATTCTTACCTGTTTGTGCACAGAAGCCTTGGTTACGCGAACTTCCCTCCATCTATTCGAACTCTCATTCAAATTCCCTACTAAAAGCGCTGTCAGTATGCAGAGCATCGAGCGCAAAGCCATCACACATACCAGTGTCCATAGTCGACATAGGCTGCAACCAAGCCGTAGCTGCACCAAGTGGTTATAGTAGTCGGAAGCGAACAATACGGACTAGCGGTTAGGGCATGATGGCTATCAAAATGCCATCAGGGATCAGCCGTGTTGCCGAAAGATTTAGATAACTGTTTTTTAATACTATTACTATGGGTAAGGCAGTCATACGAAAGCTTAATGCAGCGTAACTACTGCGTCTTGTATGTGATCATGGCTGACAGCTGAGGATTAACGCCCCCTCAATATGCGATTTGAATGTACCGATTCCACAGCGACAACATCTGATTGACTGACTGACTTACTCTTACGGCCCTGCCAGTGGAACCACCTCACATTCGCGATACAGCCCACTGTGGTTGGTTTATGAACCCTTTGCATCGCTCGGGGGCTAGGAGGGAGCGTTCGCGTTTCACGGCAGAGCCCAAAGGTACAAAGATGTGGCACCAGCGCCGAAATTGGCAGGCACGGCCTTGTTTATGCGACCCTGCAACTTAGAAGTTTGACAAAGATCTGCTACCTTGAGAACGGGAGAGAAGTAAAAGGCGAGAAGACATCATACCGAATACCGAATATGTTCGATGGTCCCGGACTATGAATATGATGATTCAAGGAGCGACACAATAAGCCAGCCGTCACAGTAGTTTTGAAATACAGATGGCCTAAGTCGCGAAGACCTGGGTAAAAAGCGAGTGTACGTTTCGATCTGTTTCATGGATGATGAAGGAAAGAACGACGGTCATTAACGACCCACAGGGTTCCCCCCTGAGAATAAGATTGATGATGGGAATAAAGAGGAGAAGCGAGACCATCCACTGACTGCGTCGAGTCAAGACCAGTTTCTTGAGTAATTGACGCTTGTCTATCCTTCAAAAATGCAAGGAAATCGTTAGCACTTGCAACATAATCAGAAGGGCTTCATCAAATATCGTTCTGGTAAGAGATGTCGTGACAGTCAGCCATTCGTTATCCTAGCTTTTGCAGTGCGGTTCCTAACATATCTAGTCAGTTAATCTGAGATCATACCGAAAGCACATGAGGAAAGGGACCATACGTACTTGTGTAACCCGTTTCCGGTCCCCATTTAGTGCTGATCATCACTCAAAGTAGGCCTAAATGACTACATCAGAATGAGTCTCGAACTGGACGAGAGGAATTAGACCTGCCACAAGCAAAATGTTTGGCCAAACAGCACTTTTACGCACAAGGTGATGTGTAGGTGTGGCTGACGAGCTTCCTTCTACTCCACGAAACATCTATCTTGCCAGCAATAGCCCCTATTATGCGACGCAGAGGAAGAATTGAAGTTGGCGTGTAAATGGTCTGTAGGAGAGGACGAGATTCAAATGGATGGTGTTTCTTCCGGATACCATTTCCCGATATTCGCTTGTTTCTTTAGAAGAAATATGAAGGAAAGGCGGTTTTGTCTCGAACAGAGCGTCGGTGACAACCAAATAGAACTACACATTACGAGTAATGCCGGGGAAGCCTTGAAAGGTTTTGGGTCGCTGTCCCAAACAAATCAGAGTCGGCGATTGACTGTGAAGAGGTTTTACTGCACGGAGTTAAGGCGAGGAAGGTAGGATAACATGCATGGCGGAACCCTACAAGATTCCTTAGTGCTGATACTGTGATCTATATCGAAGATAAGCAGAGAATAAGACAAGTGAGTAAAAGACATGCCTCGGTGCGTTAAACAAGTAGCAATTGTTTTTGGTTATCCTCGCCAGCGGGAACAGTTGGCGCGAGCGTCGGAAGAGTGGAGTTGTTATGGATCTGCCGAAATCCGGATATGCTAGCACGAGGCAAGGAGCGGTGATCGGAGCGAGGTAAGATTAATTAGAAGTGATGTACGTCGTTAGGGAATATAATGGATTCCGGCGAGGGTTCGTGAGGAGACCTGAGTGGTCCGGTTTGCGAAATAAAGGAAATCAGTAAGCGCGAAGCAATTACTGAGGGAAGTAGCCGGTAAGCGCGGAGCAATTACCGATATAGAAGGCCTGTAAGCGCGAAGCTATTACGGGCCGTGGGTGAAGGCAAGCGCTAAGCGTAACCTTCGGGTTGGTATTGGAAAGCGCTAGGCGTATCCAATGGGTTGTTCAGCAAACGCTAGGCGTAACTGAGGGTTCACGCAGTGTGAGGGTACTGGAAGTAGTAGATTGATCAAGTATTTCTAATACAATGTTATCTACAAGTTTATATACTAAGGAAAGGTTCGAGTCATTATTATTCTACAATGTTCTATAATATTCTAGTATCAGTACGAAGAATAGAGAAAGTAACAGAAAGTACGAGTGAGTCAGTATTAAGACCGAGAAGGCCGAGTACGGGCATATGTTGACTCATGCATCGAATCAACGGATACCCAATATCCATAACAGGAGTCGACTAGTGGAGGTATGCTATTCCGAAGGTCACTGGAAGGTCGATCCGATCCTTTTCGCCTGGTGGACCTTGTTTTGGTCCAAGATAAAAAACTTGGCCCATCCACAGACTTCTAGAACACTTACTACGCCGTATGGGGTGTTTGAAGTAGGTAGGAGGGTACCCGCATGATCCAAGAGAATGATAGTATTGGTAGCCGTGAGCAAGATAGTCGTCGTAGATGGGTTGACATGTTTTGCAGCTGCTTTCGTGTGCTGCAGTCATGATAGAAAGGAGGGTGTCTGAACCACACCTTTTACTACTCCTTTCCGTGCCCTCCACTATTTTTTAATTGAGACACGACTTCTTGCTACGAGAAAAAGGATAAGGGCCCTTGTAACGTCTTGGTCGCTTAGCGTGCAACGAGTCTCATAGGTTGGCGCTATCGTCATCGTGTTTCTTGGCCACCACGTTAAGTATTTCTAAGTTAAATGCTGTAAGAAGGTATTCAAAGAAATCATTCAGACAAAGTGTTCGTACCATTCTGCGACTTCCCTAGTTCTATGATACGTGCAGTACGTCGTCACTTGCGTTACAAGAACCAATTTGGTGGTTTGAACACTATCCTTGAATGAAAAATATCGTCGACCTATAGTTCTGGGATACGCTAAGTAGTCGGAGACGCGCAGAGCATTTCTCGCAGCTGCATGCTTTCCTCGATGGTTGAGCTCATGTTCATCCGTAAGAGATCAATCGAGAGAATTATCAAGAAATTAACATTAAATTTCTTCTGTATGGTGAGCAAGGAAGGAAACCGAAGAAAATAGACCACTTGCCCATGGAGTTTGGCCAGAAGGAAGGAACCCGCTTGGACTGCGTTACCTAATCATGATAAATACACCAGATCAATTTCCGCCGCTTTTGCTTTCCGCCGCCACCGTCTCCAATGTCAGGTTGTTCGAGTTTTCTACCTTTGCTTTTGTCGCCCTGCTTAGCAGCAGAAAATACCGGATGCCAAGTAAACAAACCACGAATCAGTTTCGCCCTCAAACAAGTTGCCACTGGAAACACTATTTCTAGCTAAGTTATGATCCTACTTATCCATGGACTAGGCGATTGTGCATGACTGAGGATTCTCCAGCCGGGTATTGGCATTGTCTGGACCTGTGGAAGCTCCGGCTAATCTAAATTCACACAGATATTAGCAGATGCGAAAGAGCATCGCCCCCTGAGAAAAACAGGAACATCCTTGGCTCTATTCGCTCACGCCACTAATGCTTAGTATCCCTTGGATAATTCAGCAATTGTTGATGGAATTCACTATGCCCTTTCGAAATGATGATTGAAAGACCGCATGCATTCAAAAGAAAGTTCGGAAGGCGCCGATCTGGTTCATCGCACAGCCTTGCTCCTTTTATTCCGACCACAACAGCACTTTGATGCCTCGACCTCATTTTACTTGGACATTTCCCTTAAACAGCCTGTCATGTGTAACCTTCTGTCATCCCTTGGTTCTCCATGGCCGTTATCGATGGACCCAAATTTCGGCATTGGGTACACAGGCTGATATTTACTCCTCGCTCTCTTAAATTTCTCGCATTTCTATGGCTACTGCTGTTGCGTTTGGTACGCAATAACGATCCTGAATTATATCGTTGAAGTATGTCTGTAAGACTTCTGCCTCTTTTTGTGTCTTTGTGAGACTTACAACATAATAGGTACGCACACTTACACGAGGGATCCCCGAAGCGCCGACTATTTAAACCCCGTTGATTGAGAGGTCTGTATGGATACAGCACTAGAGAAATCCTTGAATACTGGTTATGCTGTCGATTGTCTCCTCGTTGTCTCATACACGGACCAGAACCAATTATGGACTGGCGATTCGACGGATTCTTGGGCAGATTGCATGGCTATACACGACGAGAAAATCGTGGCCATAGGGAAGCTACGTAAATGCTTATCTCTTCTGCTCGACTCCATCTCTGACGAGCAGCCCAGGCGATGTTTATTTCGAATGGAATACTTACGTTGCTACACTGCTACCCGAGAGACCACTACCGAGATTCGAGAACCTTGGCATCATTGAACTAGGCAAGGGCACAATAATAATTCCAGGGTTAACGAGTAATTCTCACAGTTCGCATGTTACTACCGACGACTAATTCACAGGTCGTAGATTCCTACATCAACATGGTCGAACAAGGGCGTCATCGCACTAAAATAGACCTCGGAGGTGACGATATTCGCGGACCACTTGGTAGTTAACATCTCGTTCTTTTACACATATCTAACCACTAGGCTACTTGGCCGCTAGATGTCGTCAACGCCATTCGAAAATTCATCACTGGACCAATGGGGCCTCGCGATAAGACTGAAATCATTCGAGGTGCTGCATGGAACGTGTTATCATGGAATCGCAAAATATGGCCTACAGCAGTACGAGATCTTCATATGCGAATCTTTCAACAGAACTGACTTGACAGCATGTAGCATGATCTTGAACTTGACACTGTTGTTCAAGGGAGGCCTATAATATTGGAGAGTGAGAGTCACCATGCGGTATGGGTGTCTTCTGCAGTACACCAAGATCTCTGGGTGCGTAAGAAGCTTTGGATCAACCGCGTACATAGGCGGGATATCTTGAAGGATACAAAGGGTCGGCCGACGGGTGTGATGTTGTCTTTCTTTCAGCTCTGACAGTCGCTGATCAGACGGGTTGTAGGCGTATTTCTGAACGGTGCTGCAGATATCATCAAGGAAGTCTTTCCTATCACTGAACTGGAGAAACGCAGAATGTTTGGTGTGGCTACACGGCAGGCGAGGAGGTTTGGCATGACGGCTGTGCACGACCCAGATCCCCGTTCAACTGATTTGTATAAAAGGTGATTACGTGTAGTATCGCCTCTGGCTATAAAATATTGATGATGTTATAATTTTACAGATGGTGCGGGCCAGAAGAGGGGCCTCTTCCTGTACGTAACAACTCAGGCGGCATAATGCAAACTGCCGACATACTCCCCTCTAGCTTCGCGTTTTTGCAACACGAAGGTATGATCATGGTTCTGCATCAATCACCGGCGGACACGAAGAGCCATATGGACAGAACACGTCAAGGCTGTCCATTGGTTCTGTTCACCTCTCGGTGGAAGGTAAGCAGGTTTTCCTTTACAGCTAGAATAGCGATTAATAATATTAGGAGGATCTTTGACTAACAATCAGTTTACTTTCATGGGAACCATCAAGAAGTGTGCGAACGAAGGATGGGCAGTGGTAATTCACTTCGTTCTGTTCTCCGGGCATTTCACAGTTGATATAATATGTTAGGTTTTCGACAGAGACAATGAAGCCAATGAGATTATGTTGTCTGCCCTTGAAGGACGATATAACCAAGTTTCTCAGTATCGTATACGATTCCACAATGCACGCAACTTGACTGCCGAGGACATACACCAAATCCGAGCCTCTAAAGGTAATACTATTCCAAATTTAACGAAATGATGTATTAACCTGAGATACAGCAATAGCTTGCTTACCCCCAGTGAGTACTGGAGCATCATGTACATCCCTACTTACAAGCACGCAGGATATGGATGATCGGGTTTTGAGAAGCAACAAAATCAAAGTGATATTGGGTTCAGACGCGCCAGTCGACGGTCTTGATCCTCTCCTCATGTTTCAATCAGGCGTCAGCAAGAATGAAGGTGAGCATGCTAAAGGTAAAGCTAGGAGGGAGGACCTGTATGCTTTCCTATGAACTCTTCGTTACCCAGCCCGCTTACACCTCGTACAGAATCAGACATCGTATTCAAGTACTTAGAAGTATGTTCCGACTCAGTGTATTAGGCCACTCTGAACTGACGGCGGTTGTCCTGTAGAGATGACCATCAACGCCTCATATGCGACTTTCAACGAAGCTTCTTTGGGATCACTGGCGCCAGGAAAATACGCCGACTTTGTTTTGCTTTCGCAAAATATATTGGATCCGGACGTTTCAGTCTCTTCCATTGCAAATACGAGAGTTCTCGCTACGGTGATTGGCGGAAGGGTGCTATATGGGAACTTGGCTGATTGCTTTTCGAGGGCAGACGGAATGTTGGCTAGGCGGTACGTAGAGGAGTTCAGGAATGTAAAGTTACACGATTAAATTCAAGATGATATACTTACGTACTGAGGCTCCTAGCTATTATTTGGTACCCAGTAAATTGTAAATGCTGAGTGCCGCAAAGGCTTGTTTCGCCAACGTAATAAGGGGTGAGGCGGCAAGGCCGTTGAGAAATATAAGCACGAACAGAAGCAGAAGAGAGCACGCCGTTTACTTAGTTCATGATATATTGCATATAGTCGTATTCAAAATGCAGTGTGGCCCAACGTGTGATAACCACCATGGTGGGATAATATCACGTTGTTGGACTCGTGCCACCGGTTTCTCCAGCTGCCGTTTTCGGCAGTTCGTTTAATTTCACCTTACATCCACCAAACGCATGACAACCTGCGACCAGCGTATCTCTATTGGTTTGTAGTCTAGCAGGCATCGAAATCTCCCTGAAACATTATCCCTCTCCTCTTTTCAAAACAGTAAGGATATCCTACGCTGTCTGAGTATGCGAGTTCATCGTTTTTCTTCCTAGTTACACATGATATGGACTACGAATGGGTCCGGCGCTACGAATTCGCATCGCCCCTACTGTATCCACAAGAACAAATTACGGAAATACCGAACGTCCAGAATCATGAAATCAGAGCCAAAGAGCGTGTCGACGCCGTCGTTCACCTTCCCTCGCCTTCCCCCTCAGGATAGGAAAATCCGGACGAGCTTGACTACCCATAGGCAAATACTCGGTCTGAGGACGAAATCATCCAACATCTTCGATTTACCCATGGTTCGAAATGCACAACTATCACTTCGGCAGATAGATCGGCCACGGCGGTTCCAAATGAGGATCGCATACCATTCATGTTTGAGGGACAGTCTATGTGGAACTCAACTAGATTGTTGCTGAGAGACGAGAAGAAATGGCGGGGCTCTAGGTGAGTATCCTACATGTGTCAAGGCTGTGTGAAGTGTTCTTGAACAAGGCGAGGGTTGAGATTTTTGATATGGAACTGGTCAGGTATGGCCTGTACTGGCTTATATCAGAGCCCAGGTATTTGAAGGAGCTTTAGGAGATGCTATAGCGGGGAGGACCCAGAGGATTTTGTCAAATCGGATGATTTCTTTCGCTTGACTTCGGGATGCTAATATGACTCGACAGATTGGAAACGGCTGGTATTGAAGGAGTTCGAGGGATGCAAACTAAGTGAGTAACAATTTGAGAATGACGTTACGGAGATTCAGTCAACGAGATGGCTGAAGCAGGTGCCATTTCAAAGGGAGGACATCCTTGCTTACCGTCGATTCAAAGCTGACCCTTATCATTTTGGGAAAAAGCGAAACTTTGGACCTGACTTGTGATCCACCCAACACTCCAGCATGTATCGTAATTCCATTAGATCCGTCGCCCCTCCTGATCTATTCACCGTCCTGCGCAAGAAGACGCAAGCCCAGAACAAACGAATTACTCATCTGGAGACCAAGATACGGATACCAATCTCGTTAGTCCCAAATCCAGACCCACTTTTGGCCCCAGACACACCTTCCCAGACCTTTTGGATCTAGATTGTTCGACGAGCTGCTGAAGGGATTGTTTCGAAACATAGCTTGGCGCAGATGTTGATACGGAAACAGAGTCCTTTATGAGTGGGTTCGTCGAGGTTGAGGGTCTGTCAAACGATGTGGTTATAGACAGCGAGGAAGCAACTTCGCCACCTATGAAGTTTTTGTGTAAGCTGAGGAGGTAAGAGAACTGACATTCGATGCTTTTACCCGGTTTACTTAGTATTACAATTGTAACTTGGAATAAATTTCACGATCCAATACGTGGACAAACCATGTACACGACCACGACTGTATATAATTTGAGTTTCTATTCCATAAGCTGTCAAAGTGTTGACAATTGATTCCCGAGCGAGTTGTTTGCGCATGCTTCTGCATTTCTCACACTGAAAACCTTCCTTCCACACATTTAAGGGTATCTACAGTGAAAAATTTCTTTCTTCCGGCCACAAATATGCCCATTCCATCGACTTTGTATGAAAATCGCGACAAGTCCCCGTTCAGAGCGCCTCGGTACCGAATTTTGCGCAGCTATCGTTACCATCCATACGCGCGGCGCGAGCGTCTACAGTCTGTTGATAAGGTGAAATTTTCAAGAATTTCCCTGACATTTCCAGCTGACTCTACCCTTGTCCTAGCATAAAAATTCGGTCTTCACTTCCTCGTCATCGAAGACAATGGCAAGTATCATTTCACGACTCTACTAACACGTCACACAAGGACAGCCATATTCATTATCTCTTTGGTTTTGCTAGGAGGGTCAGGACTCTATAGTATGGAAAGACGAAGGGGACAGCTATGGATGTTGGAAGAGGGCGCTTGCTGTGCTCGTCGTGCGTATGATTATAGTCATGCATCAGATATGAGATTATTCAAACTTATCGTCATTCTAGGTTCTCGCTATCATCTCACGCATTCTCGAGAGTACAGCACTTTCTGTGGAGCTCTCTGTAGCGTCGTCGCAATTGGTATATTACACTCATCGAGGCCCACCATGAAAAGTTTGCACATTGCTCTCAAGTCCTGTATGGGCAGAATGGATCGGAGTTCGTTGCATCAGTAGCCGCAGGACACGGCCAGAAGTACGTGAGGCGAATTTCTTGGTATAGTGGGGGGGACAATCCAGGTTCAAAAACGGTAGTGAATGGAGAGTTATTTATTAGCGATGTCCAAATTGTACCCAAGGAATCGAGATATAAAGATTGGCCAGAGAAAGTAAAATCGAAGACACTATTAAGTTCCCAGCAGAAAAACCGGAAAAATCACCCCATTGAGAGACTAAGAGATCGCAGTCGCGACGACGGTGAGCTCAATAGCCGATCAAAAGAATAAGGCGGAAAAATCCGAATGCTTGGATCAGCGAGCAATTTCCAATTTTGGTTTTCTTTTTGCTTTGATCACTAACCACCACATACGCTTCAAGTCGGCACTTTGCAACGTTAAAGGCACCCATTTTCTTATCTCTGGTATGTGGAATAACTCAGTAATGCTGACTGCGCTAATCTTTGCACCAGTTATGCGTGTTAGATATCCTCTCGGCGCGGCCTCGGCTGGGTTTTCCGGATACTCGCAAAGATACTACTCACATCTCAGCACTGCGGCAGTCAAGCTCGCCAGTACAGTCCATGCAGACCTAGCTGTCTATCACCCAACTTGATCTCCAATCTCAACGCCTATTGTTTTCGCTCCTCTCCCCCCTCCTTCATTCCGCGCGACAGCCTCCCAGGTTTATTATCTCAGAAGCCGACTTTTTTTTCTCGAAGTAGCGGAAACTGGACTTGGTATCAAGGTAAAACCATGACAACGGTATTGACAGAACCCTGACCGTAAATTTAGGTATCTTAGGGTCCTATTCGAAGGACGCGATTCATGCAGCAGGCACAGGCAAACGACGTAGCTCCTTTCATTGAACGTGAGACGCCTGCGGGAGAGGGGATATACGGGGCATCAGATCGCGAAATGTAGGCGCTCCCTCATAGGCATGTCATGCGCTTTGGATTTGCAACAGGGAGGGAGGGAACGCCTACGTTTTGCGGTGCTATACACAGCATGTCGAGACGCATCCTTTCCAAGATGTGTGATGCATGCACCCACGTGCAAGCAGGGATCACTTCACGGTCGCTGTACTTGCCCCCCGTAGCCGGTTCATCAGCCGTTCATATTTCGTCGCGCTGGAAATGAGCGCCCACAGCGTGACTCACGATGGTTGACTTTGGCTGTGGAACGATTTCACACGCCCTCCGACTGTTCGTTTCTATCGACGGTTGTTTTACCCAATTCTTCGGATACCACTCTCCTCCATCAAAGTCTGCATCTCTGGTCGGCGGAAGCCTAGGTCGCGAAGTCGTTGCAGGAACAATCCTAGCGACGGTGAATTTTGAACCCGAGTAAGTGGCTGTGCCCATTACAAGCGCTAGTCGCTCTTGGGATTGGTATACTCATTACCCTCGAAGCAAACAGGACCTCTCCCCTCCATATGGGCCGCCTTAGATGGCTTTCGATTCAGCGTGTTCTGTGGCACGATGGTGGACGCTGCCTTTGGAAAACACCGATGTAAAGAGCATAAACCTGGTCGGTAAAGACTTTGACACGTCTGCGACCTTGGGTAGTTCGAGTTGATCCGCGATTTATCCAGGAGGTTCTGGTCAAGATATTCGAATATTGTTTCATTTACCTGTATTTTATCCTAACGAAAGGCTCCGACATTTCTTGAAATGGACTCCCACCGTTGTGCTTGACGTCCGACGCTCGTGAGAGAACTTTTGTCGCCCACTGAATTAGTGTTTTTTTGACATCACCGTGGGAAAGTTAGGGCCGTCCAACACGAAACATTAACTAAATTAAACGGGAGGATATAAAATGAGATGTCAAAGGTTATAGCACCGAGGAACAAGTATAGTTGTTGTATGGAGCACAAGAAAACTGGAAAACTGGATTTATATAGCACAAGCGGAAGAGAAAATTGCAGGCGGGCCGACGTCAGAATCAAAATGAAACAAGCCGAAAAATTGGCCTCCCACGTGACGTTCCAGCTCTCTTCTGTGACGCGACCACGATAAATCGCTTCGGCTATGCGCTATCTCAGACGGTTTCCTCGCCGCTGTTGCCCATTCCCTTTCTGACTTCCGTCTCAGAACTAGCGGTCTCCTCCATGAAAGCCTTCGTTCGAGGCGTGCTATAATGAAAAGGCGGGTTTGAAGGCCATCGTTACACTCCGGGCTCAACGTCGCAGGCTTCAAGACCCCTCTAGTCATCATCGGAAAAGAACCTTGCACGGTGGTAAGTGAACCAGGCTTGATTATTGCGCTGTGAGCTCAGCTTACTCGGGTTTTCCCACGCTAGAAAAAATGATGCGCCCTTGAATAGATCAAAGACCCGAGCAATGCACTATTCCAATTCACTACAGTGCATCGGCCTAGTGCTTGCACTCGTACCCAAACGCCTAGTGACCTGCGACGATTCACGTGTACCTGTATACGTCGGGACTCGGCATATCCTGCCGGCATTATTACATGAGAGAGCTGGTTCATGGGTTCAAGGCACTCCTTTCTCCATCTCTCCCACGAACCACCATGTCTGCAGCCGGTATATCCTCCAGCAAATCCGTTCTCATTACAGGCGCCACGTCTGGAATAGGCCGTGCGCTCGCCTTGGCCATCGCTGAGCTGCCTTCGAAGCCTCAAGTCATCGCAGCGGGTCGGCGCCAAGATCGACTAGAGGAACTCGCGAAGCATGGACTGGAATCTCTGAGCTTGGACCTTGCGAAGGACAAAGACGCGCTGAAGAAGGATTTGGATAATGTGGTCGAGAAATATCCCGAGGTGAGCGTCTGTTTCTCTTTCTAGGTCCCGGCAACTTATAGGTATCTATAGCTGGACACCGTCATTCTATGCGCAGGAATCCAGCATGAATTCGATTTCACAGACACTGAGGCTTTCAACATCGATAGTACGCGCTGCCGTTCAGTTCTAGCCTTCTTTACTTACGCATATATGCAGATTTGTACGAAGAAATTCAAGTCAACTACACCTCTGTCGTCCTTTCAGTCGTTTACCTTCTCCCCCATCTCCAAAAACTCTCTGTATGGAATTCTCTTTTTGACAGCATATATGCGCGTGTCTGATCGTGTTTATTCAGGCACAGGGTCGTAATTGTTCCATCATAATAGTAACCTCGGGTCTGAGCATGGTGCCTGCGGCATGGGTCCCCAACTATTCCGCGACGAAAGCCGCCCTGCACAGCTTCTCGATGTCTCTTCGCGCCCAAATGAACGGCACAAATATTAACGTTGTTGAAGTCATTCCTCCGTGAGTACGAGTTTTGGATCCTATGCTTTCGTTGCTTACATTGAAATTCGCAGACTGGTTGAATCGGAGTTGCATGATGGTACGCATCTACTTTGTTCTGCTAGTATCACGCTGATGATGGGTCCCAGCATACGGAACGACGGAGAAACTCTCCAAGTTTTGGATGCCCTTGGATGATTTCATTGGCCAGCTGATGCCTCAATTACTTAATGGTACCGCAGAGGTTCCTATTGGTATGGCCGAAACCATCTTTAAGAAGTTCGAGGCTGGGAAGATGGATATAGCGTTGAACATTGCGACAAATCATAAGGAAGGGAAGTAGTGTAGGTAAGAATTATCGTCTGCATCGCATTGATAATTCTCTGACTTTCTGGAATAGTTCGATAGTCCTCGATTTGCGGATACTTTTTGTCTTGTTCGCATTCACCTCCATCTATTGCCGGAGGTGCAGACATAATCACTTGTTATAAAGAATTCTATGAACCCATCTTCTGCGTATCCAAGTCTTCGGGTTTAAGCACGGATCCACACTTGACAGATAGGAATTGACACTATCGCGAAGTGATATCGACGTAATTCCAATTTTCTCTTGTACTGAATGTCCCTCTGACACATTACAGCTTGACAGTAACGTGCTTCTTTTGCGAGTGGAGAGAGCGATCTGAACTTCGTCATAAACATGGTTTTGAGGCCTTCTCGGGGACTTCGGAGTGCTCTTCACGCCTTACAAGTCCACAAACCTCGGTTTATACCAAGTGGATGCTTCTTTTATCATTCACAAAACCGCCATAGACTGCCAACCTGCGCGCAAACAGCTGTAAAGCGTTGGCCAGAGTCGGACGGAACAGGCTCGCCTGCATCAATGACATAAAGAACTTCTGATAACTCCGCTCAAATAAACTGGCATCCTTCTCTTTCACCAACACGTCATCCTCCTCGTCACGATGATAGTCGAACCTTCCACTTCCCCCATTTCGCTTTGGCGCTGCGTCTCCGTGAACGAATAAACACCTCCCAAAGCTATGTATGAGCTACTCCTTCCAATAGCATCCCCAGACAGAAGCGGCCTGAACCAAAAACAGTTCGAGCTGCTATCGTTCTTAACCGACCTGCCGTCGTATCTTTACACGCCGACGATGAGCATATCTTGGGCAGTCCCCTCAACCAGATTCGCATCGACGCACACGTCACTTCCACTTTAGACTAAGCTGAGGACTCTCCAAAGATCCATTTCCTCGCTCTGGTACTACTTATTCATGGGCTAGTCCATGCCACGGGTACTATATTCCATCACGGGAAGTCGGTATTCGCCCGTTGTTATTTGGATGACGCCTATGAATTTTGGATATCAGCTTGAGGAAGCGTTCTTTGGCGGGATTATCGGCGTAGTCTTCTTGAGCAGTATTCCCAAAGACCCTCAGATATCGCATTTCCTGATCCTTTCTCCTGCAGAGAAGGTATACAAGATTGGTATGTGCCGCGCTGATTCCCTATACTAGCTGTACCCGCTAATGCAGTTTTCCGCAGGTATAGATCATGCGGCCTCTCGGGCAGACTAAGAGAAACTTGAAGCTTCCCATTTTGACTTTGAGGAACTTGAGGGGCTGGACATGTCCCTCCCCGAGTTCCTTGGGTTGTGAACACCTCATATGCGCCTGTCAATATTCGTCCTTGTCAACGACGTCAGGGACTTATCAGAATCGGCAATATATACACGTTTCCCGCTAAGGGCTGCATGCGCCGCCGTTAGGGCAGCCGTAGTTCGTATCGAATGGATAACTCTAATACTGGCTTAGGTAGTGAGCGCATGGCCTATCCATGTTCGGAATAACTAATTATCGTTTCCTCAGTATCTTAATACGCGTACAACCAGGAAGCTGTATTGTGAGCTGCAGGAGCGTCTATGTTACCGGAGACGAAGAACACACTGGCTAGTAAGCTTAAGGCATCTGGTTCTCTCATGCATCAGGGCTGGGCCGCTTGAAGCCAAATTTCGACAATTGTAAGGATACATAAGGATATGGTTTCTATGTCTCATAGCTCCCGCTCCTTTCTCTGAGATTCTCCAAGATATGAATGAAAATTTAAATTTTGCCCTGGGCACATTGCTAGGAGCCTCCAGGAAGCACCTTTGCTGGAATCGTAAGTAGCAGCTCTTAACCTATAGTTCCTCCATCTTTGCTGATGTGTTAGGCGCTCGTATTCGTTAACATTGATACAGCCAGTTGGTTTTCACTCTAAGAGAATTGTGCTTGAAAAGAGTGATGATGGAACGGTACGCCGGCCCGGTTCGCTTACAGAAGTGGCGGAGATGATTCCGTAATCTGCTGCAAACCCTCATTATGGCCTTCGCGTTGCGTCCCGCCCATATCATGTCTGAAGGGTGACTACACACCTTCTTTGAGAGACGAACTCTGTGATTACTACTCTTGTTCGACTGATCCTGCGAATAGACGGAAATTGGCCGCAGAACCGTTCTCAAGTTCTGCAGTGCTGCTGTAGGTCATATTTTCTTATGTTTTTGGCACTGCATGTTAATGCAGGACTCCGCTTCTCTTCAATGTTTGCTTGAATAAAGTTCTTACTGGATCGTCCTTTCCGTGGCACAAGTAAACAGTGGAATAAGTGCAGGTAAACTCACAAACTGCTCTTATCCTTCGACCAATGATTGATCGTCCTGTAGTGCAGACTTAGTCCTAGCGAAGGCATTTGACGCTCCAGCCGCTCTCACCTCTTACCATTGTCAGTATGCGGAAGATTCTCGAAGTACGGTCTTAATGCGGGGCTTTCCCCCCACCGGATCTTCTCATGGACGCGATGGATTGACGAGATGCTCCAGCGCAAAATCCATATAACTAGGTCTGAGCCGATTATAGCGACATCAGCAGTGGCTGGACTTCTGACTCGACATTAGTCTTAACCTGCGACAAACCTATCGGGACTATGGAACCAGCGCCAGCGGAACGAGGAACGAGGAGAAGTCAAAGTTATCTCGGGTATCAAGGTCTGGATGGCGAAGAGATAGATGTATTTCTTCGCTTCGGAGAACCATCTCGAGTACCAGATTGCAACCAGTCCGACTACGCTAAAATAACGTTAGCACTGGCGCTGCATATTTCCTCTTCGCTTGTTGCTGTACACCGATAGTATTCCTTCCACTTCATCGTTACTAGTCCTCGATGCTAATGTGAAGCAGTACAGTTCTTCGTAGCAAGGAATACAGGTTTTATGGGAAATAAAGAATTCATAAGAATCTCTCTGGTTCTGAACATTTGCGCTCGGGTCGTACCACCTTCACTTCCCCCATGACACCGCTCTTATCTAGCATTGCTACATTTCTGCCGGTCGTCGCATTTTAACCTCCCCCATCTTCTCGCTGTCTTCCTATCCGACATTGAAGACCGGGCTTGGAGAAGTCACCCTCAGCTATCGATATGGATGTATGGCTGTCGCTTCGCTGCGTTATGAGGGTCATTCGCCCATAGCGGGGGGAGTCATACCGAAGTTTCCAAGAAAGGAATGCTCAACGATATTGAATGAATGCGAAGACAACGGGGAAGGTACATCGTCTTGTGCTGTGACAGTGTTGATTTCAGGACGACGATGATAATGATGATGGCCAGTCAGGGAATCTTTTTCTGTCTTATTTCCGGATGTCTAGAAAATCTCCGGCAGGCAAAGGTTTCCTCGTGAGCGCACTGCGTAGGTCGGACCAATATTTTTCATTTGACAAGCGGCTGAAATCCATCCACTAGCCTATGATACTCCGAATATGACGGAAGTCGCGAGAGCCATTATCATTTTGAATACCAGGTTGGGGTAATAAATATCTTTATTCCCGCCCTTTCAGTCGTTGATATTCTACGAAGTAGAGAACCTGTTGGTAGGTCGGAAACCACCTCAGCAGTCCCCCTGCGATGTCCCACCGTGGAATGTGGCCTGATATCTATCACGGTCCTGCGCTTATTACAAGAAACCGCCTCAGAAGCACAAGAACCAGGACCACCTCTCGGGACATCAAGGTATTCATCCATTAACAGGCACCCAAGCATCGCCATCAATAACAAAAATACACCCTTTGCCGGTGACGTACTCATTTCCGAGATGCACGCAGAGTCTTGGCCTTTACGCTGTCCCACGTTGCCTCTCAATTATCCTTCTGTACCGATGCATTCCACTCTACCTAGGGTAGAAGCTTACACACTGCCGGGATGCTTCGCGGTTGTGAGTTTCGCTTCCTGATTCAGAATTGAATATTTAATCATTAGTGCCCAATACTTAGATAATTATCATAGGAACATTCGTACAATCACGGGTAGTACGTGGATGACATCTGGGGAGCACCTCGTTCTTCGTGGTGACTGACTCGTACTCTCGACCTGACCAAATGTTCGTTATTGTAAAGCCGCATTTGGGTACAGGATTTCCTTATGAAGAATTCTCAAGCAAATCCTTCGATACCTGATCTGCGAAAATCAGGCAGGTTGATGAGGGTTCCACCGATGAGGACGCAGTGTCCAACAAATTGTGGATAATGGAAGAGCAGAAGCTGGAGCGTACAAACCGAGGATAAGCATGTGGGTGGCGCCTGCTACGTCAAGTTCCTTGAGCTATGCTAACGCGAATACGCATTTAGGACACCAGAATGTCTTCGAGCGTCCAAAAAAACCATACTTTCCATGAGAAAGTGACAAACGGACGTCATGATTCATTCGCTGCTGGGGCATGTCGGTGTTTCCGGCGCGATATTTCCGGCGCCAACACCGACATGCCCCAGCAGTGATTCTTGGCATCTGCAAAGCTCGGCACTTTTCTTTTTTTGTCAGAATGAGGATGGCATAAATTGGAGCATTCGTTGCAGCGACCCCTCCATTGGTTTGCAGTATGCTTCGTCTGTATCTCCTCGCAATCACATCGCTCATCTGTATTACCCGCGCGCAGCAGCATAACGCAGAACCTACTGTCAAAGGGTCGACGGATGGCGGCTGGCAATCGTTCCCGGATGTTGGGGATGCTACTGCGTATCCTGAATGGGTCGTAAATAAGGGTATGGGAGCGTATATGGTGAGTTCTTATGTGCACTTGTATCTTCGATCTACAAACCGACTGAAAACCTCCCCCTAGCCTGTATATCAAACTGCTGGCCAGAATGCGACTCAAGTCACACGCGCAATTATTGTTTTGCATGGCAAGGTGATCTTGTCTCTATTCGCAGTCCGTTATCCATGCTGACATCGTCAACAGGAAAGAGCTTGTTGGTCTGGTGAGTGTTGTCTTCCCGACTCCGTGTTCGTCGCAAGCCCTAACCAGGAATAGATTGGAACTCGTTAAACAATGCGCTCTACAATGCGACTTACAATGACCCTACTATCAAACGCGAGCATATATCCATCCTGGGACCATGTTTCTTCACGGAAGCTGATCTGAAAGGAGGTGCCGCCAAGGACGGACAGCTATTATGGGGAACGACGACGTGGATCAGCGGTCATCCTAATATCGCGCCCGACTCTGTGTCTGGTTTTAGCAGCTTTGACGTTCTTGATGCGTTAGTCGCATATTATATGGATAAAAGCGTGTATCCGAATTTGAAGGTAACGTTCACCTTTACTATGCTCAACGATTCTCTCATCCATGTTCAGGTTCTCATTGTTGGAGGTCACTCAGCAGGCGGTCAAACGACTCAGCGCTACGCAGCTCTCAGGAAATCGACTAAAAATGATGATCGATTGCAGTTCTGGATCGGTGAGCCCTCTCTATGAGCGATGAGATAACAGTATTGATCTGACTAAATATGTACAGCCAATCCCGGCTCTCTCTGCTGGCTAACTTCGGACCGTCCATTTCCTGACGATAGCTGCCAAGGCGTTGACGAATTTAAGTACGGGCTGGAGTCGAATTTTCCCGCGTATGCAGCATCGAACGCGCTCTCTCTTGGAAGGGAAGGTATCATTAATAGGTACCACAGCCGCGCGCTTAGTTATGCTTGGGGCCTGGTGAGTAATAACCTTTCTTCAGGGATAGCCATCAATAACGTCTTTCAGAAAGATGAAGGAAACGGGGATACCCGATGCCAAGCAGAGGTAAGTTGTCATTTGTCTCTGGTTGCAATAGCAATCAATGTTCCGCAGACGCAAGGAAGTTCGCATATAGCAAGGGGAAAACAATTCGTGGCAATGCTGGAGAATATGGGCGGTATACCTAATCTCACTACGGTCGATTGGGTACCCGGTGTGAGCCATAATACCGCAGGAATGATGGCAAGCGATGCCGGAATCGATAAGGTAAAGAAAGTCATATATTGAGGTCATCGCTGTTAACTGACAGCTGGAAAGCTATTCCGATATACAGGCAATCGCACTTGTGCTTAACGGCACCTAGTTATTTCATAAAGAAAAGGGACCGGAATTTGGTAGAAGATCACGTATGTACACACCGGAAGCCGAGAAATAGACTGCAAAAAAATGGAATGAAAACAGGAAAGCCAGACACGGATGATTGAGCGAAAAGTACACCAATCATGATCATCAAGGATAATAAATGACAGTCAGACCGTCTTGACGAAGTGTATTCAAAGAAGGCATCCACTCCACTCCTCCACGATGCGCTCCAGGCAGCGATGACAGAACCACCTCGGTGAAAAGAGAATTCTGGTCACTCCTTCGACAATGAAGCATATGAATGAGCTCCTCATGATCAAAATTCAAATGCGACCCGGAAAGATCAAGGCGCTCCAATTGCAGTGGATGTGTTGCTAGTGCAGCAATGAGATAACTCGACTTGATGGTGGTAGCGAGAGAAAAGGATTTGAGCTTTGGTAAGACTCTAAGCATAGCGGTCACTTTTGTCCCATCGATAGGTATGGAAAGCGCCGAGATTAGGAAAGAAGTCAGGCAGGGCAAGGAATTATCTTGAAAAGAGGGAAAATTTGCACAATAGCTGTCGTAGTGAAATTCCAACGACAACAGGGTCGGAAGCTCCATGATAGAGAAAAGTCCAGCGATGCTTCCTCTGCCTGAGGTGTCTGGTCCTTCCCACATACTCAAGCTAGTCAAATACTTCAGCGTGAACATGGCGTCTGGTGTCATACCCCGATGGACATTTTTAAGACGAACGGTAAGCGACTTCACCCTCCCAATGTCTGGCAGAATATCCAAGACGTCTCCACCAATATCAGCGTCGGTAATTTGCTGCCAAGGCAGCTGGAAGAAAAAGGGAGAGTTGTCAATGGTTACTTTGTGTAGGGAGGGTGCATATCGGAAGGCAGTGGTACGCCATAGAAGGGGAAATATGTCTATGCGGGACGCAGATATCCGGAGTTCTTGTAATGCTCCCAATGAGCCGGATACACATTCTAGAAGTCGGAGCGATTCGATGTTAGGGAGAGAAACATGTAGCTACCGCCATCGGGAAGACGACGAGAATATGATTGGAAGAAGTGGGAGTGGATAAATGTCCTTGCTACCAAGAAAGACAGACAAACTGCGTGTACCAGATCTCTGGAGTAATAGCTTCAGGCGGAAAGCGGAACGTGATGAAGAAGGTACCAGAGGGTATTTACCTCTAAATACTTTACTCAAGAGTATTAGATGTCCGTTCCCGTAAGCCTCATTCCCCAGGTCGAGGCTTATTGTCGACCACAAACGGGTCGTTGATAGCGCTGCTGCTCTCCACGTGGAGCAGACGCGGGAGATAGCCCAATGAAAGTGACGTAAATCAAGGGAATCGCTGGGACAAGCAGCAGGCGTGTCCATTACGTCTTCTTCATCTGCTGCACAAGAGAAAATCTGCTCCAAAACATCGTATGGTACCTTGCGCACAGGATTCATGATTCTCTTCGATGCAGCGATCCGTTTCCGGACAATACCCTTCTCGGTAGTGAGATCTGATATTAATTTCTGGACCTGTGAAAGGCGTTGGTCGAGATGGCTGATATGACTATCGCCATTCGAAATGATGTTTTCGAATTCAGCGCACTCGTCATCGGTCGGGGGCTCATTGCAGGCGAGAAGGAAATCGATTCGAGTGAATGGTACAGATTCGAAGCTTCTGCTGGTTGACGGACAGAATTTACACTGTGTGCAGGGTTTTGGTGGGGGAGATGGGGGAGCAGCCACGTCCATATCAGATTAAAAACTTTGGGTAAAGCATGAAAGGTACATAAAGCCAACATACTATGTGATGCTTACCGATTCCTAGGTCCTTTAACTTCGTGCACCCCAGACGGTGTGATGGAAGGTTAACGCGAGGAGCGCGGTGAGACAATCATGTGAGAGTCACGTTATACATCGGGCCGATAGGTGAACCAGGCGGCCCGACTTTATCTCTTAAACACTCCTGCTCCTTCTCTCCTTGCTGATATGGACTTATAACTGCCTTACAAGCTTGAATTATCAACAATAAATCAATAATTCCTCACCGAAAATCTTACCGAACTTATCTGTGTCAATATCTGACTTTTACACCTGTTCTCTGCACTTCAAGCGCCCATTTTTGACTCCTGTCAGTTACTTCTATGTTCTTTGACCATATGCTCGCGAGCTTTACTTTCGGAGATCCAGTATGAAGCATTTTCCATTGACGCCGCTTCTCTCTTCCTGGTTACCTTCAGGTCTCAATAACTAGTGGGCTAGCAAACATATACATTACATTTACCAGTTTATGATCTTCTTATTTCGCCCGTCCAAGTTGGATGGCACGCTGACCATCGATTAAAGAGGCTATGTATATGGGTACTGGGCACCCCAATTCTTGGCTCGCCGCCTCCGAATAGCTTATCCACCTTTGACTGCGAGCCGCTATGCTTGGGAAAAGTTGGTTGCCACCACATTCTCAACATCAATGGAAGAAATTGAGACTTGATGCGCCCACACCTTTTCTTCAGTTCTCACCGGCGGTTCGACTTAGCACCTATCGCCGTCTAATTTTTTTTTTTTTTTAATTTTCAAACTGCTGGAACATTGGACTATGAGTCTATGACAATGCAAGGATCTATCACACAGTGCTTTCATAATTCTTGTTACCGGGTCTTACTAGCTTTCTCACGGCTCGGCGACCACTTCACTTAGAGCCTATTCGGTACAGAATTAATGTGCAATTTAAATACCGCATGAAATTATGGCGTTACTTCGGAAAACTCCGCGTGATTGCCAGATTGGCACAACTATCGGAAAACTTCGGACACAGCTCCGACATCGACGTCGTAGACCCTTCTTCGTCGTTTCCCGCCCTCACTAGTCAACATTCCGCCACTATCCCGCCCACTCTCCACTGCCCCATGTGACTATGAAAATGATTATTTGCATTTTTTTTGTTGTTTTTTTGAGACATTCTTTGTTGTGCATATGGAAATGTTTTAATAATTCTATTTTAGCATACATGTACATGGTGTATATCATGAAAAATACGCCATGCAAGCAGCAAGCTGAGTAGAGTGGCAGTGAGCACGGTATCAGGGTGCCGAACCAGATCTGTTAACACTCCTGAGTCACAGCATGGTCACATCCGGTGTATTTACTATCCGGTATTTAAACAGCACATTAATTCGCACATCAATGTTGCCGAACAGGCTCTTAAATATTGGCCCCTCCTCGACGACGGAAATGATTAGGTGATTTGACCCTCAGTGATTTCCGGATAGCCGGAACCGACTGGTTGTCAGGCACCCCCTCATTTCGACTCATGCTGAATTTTCGTCAATTAGCTGCTCTGCGCGTTGTTGATATCACTATTACTATGAATAACTGTGAATATATAAAGCCGAAAAGGTATCCTTTCATCGAAATATCGTGGGGAACTCGCAGACTAAGGTCGCTTCGTCGATGACTTGTCCATATTGCAATTTGTTTCGGTATCTCCCGCCTTCCCCGCATCTGGAAAACTCCGATGCCCCACGTCAATTGTTCAGTTGCTAGATCCCTCCGTATTTCGTATTTCGTTATAGCTGTTCCTGGCTCCGTCCGCCTTTTTCCTCGGAACTCGGAACTTGTCTTCATCACGGTGATCGCGAGAAAAAAGATGTTCTGTCCACATAACGCAAGGGAGATCAGAGAGCCCGAATGTGGTTCTCAATTGAATCACAAATGTAGATCCTTTGTTTTCAAACTCAAGAAATGGCGCGTCACTCAGCGAACTAAGCATTCGCCAGTGATGTACAGTGGTTACGATAGTTATGATCAGTCAACCGACCTGTTACAGTGTAGCAGCTCTAGCTAAAACAGTTACACCTGGCCTCCGAGCCTTGGATTGATCAGGATAGACCCGCATGCTGGATCCAGGCCTGGTCTCCTGTATGGCAATGACTACAGACCGGAGGTTCTGGAACACCTCTTGTCGAAACTTAAGTTACAAGGACGACCTTAACCTATTAGAGTCATCAACGTCACGGGGATTTGTGTCGCGGCAAAGATGTATAAGTGAGAGTCGGGATCTATCGTCAAGAATAATACATGAAGAAACAAGGGTAAATGCAGATCCGATGACGAACTTCCAATTTCGAGTCGGGACATCGTTGAAAAGGGAGTTCCGATAGATCAATGCAGATCGTGATCGTCGGCAACCACCAGTCTCTAAGTATGGCCTCGTTTCGAATGATAAGGAGGGCGGTAAAGATCTTCTTTTAAACCAAAGCCATAGGGACGGGAGTTGGCAAATATATAACAACCAGATCGATTTCCAGCACATACTAACGGGAGAAGGATCACTGACGCAGAGTACTGAATTCGTTCTGAGTGCGGAGGGAATGGATGCAGATGCGCAGTCAAGGCTGATTATACGGCAGATCCCAACCCAGGGGGGACTGGATCTCTATTCAATTGTTGCGTCATTTATCATGAAATTTTTCATATGTACTATAACGAGAAGAGGAGGCGGGAGTAAATGAGGTCAAATTGAAGAGTAAATTTGAGGTGGAAATATGCTTTAAATTTGGATCCTCCACCACTCGATTCATGTGTTTGGAATCAAAGGCGAGTCGGAGGAAACAGTCTACTAAAGAACGCGGATGCGAATGAGAGTTGCAGATTTTATTCCTGTGAGGATCGGCGCGTGGATAACATGAGTTCCTCGGGAAGCGAGGTATCGTCGATACCACGGCAGATAGAAATCAGTGGGGATCGATACGGCGGAGTATGAGTATATAGCATCCGGACGATGATGATGGGTATGAGTGATGGTGGATCATCATTCAATACGCAGTTCCTCATGTCGAAGTCCGTGTACTTGCTATTGAGTACTATGAGATCCAACAATCACGTACTGTGGTTGTAGCCGGTCACGAGAACCAAGATACCCAGTGGTACTTGTGCGCCCATGCATCAAGTCGGAATTTTCTGACTTGGAATAGCACATTTACAAACGCCGAGGTGGTAACTCGGACTTTTTTGTCGCGGGTAGGATAAACGTTGCGTTGCACCTTGATAAAGACCATTGTGTACCAGTTCACGCACTGGCACGAGTGGAATTTACTTGACAAGTTGTCTTGTTACTTCCTGAGCATGTGTAGAGGACTTGACGGAAAGAAAACAGTCCGCGGTCTGCCAGCCCTTCGTACTTGAGGTACGACGCCCGCTAAGGTGGCGGTTCCCGTTCAAGTGGCAAAAATCACGTAATCCGAACATGTACGCTCAGTCTGTTCCAAGGCCCTGGCTTCGCTTATTTTCTGGATAGCGTCACCGCCACGGCCTTCTGTGCGATCTTCTTCTCAGTCTCGACCCTGCACCTCGTTAATTGTCGCCTTTCATTCTCAGCACTGCCCTTTTTCGACGCTTCTTTCGTCCTTATGCTCGTGAACTTTAACCTTACAGCCACCTTCCGCGACGCCACTCTCTCCTTCCCCACCTCTTGACTCCAAGCCTAGTAGCGAGCGGCTGTTCTCTTGGCTTCTTCCATTTATTAGTGGCCCATCGACAATCATTGTTATCTTACCCAATTAATGACGCCACTGCCGACGTTCGCTGAGGCATGTAGGTTTATTCCAACCGCTGCTTTTCAGACCTCAGACCGTTCCCACTTTTCTTTAAAGTTGCCCCGAAATCTCTTCCACTCGAAGGTGTCTCTCCCTTCAACATGTATCATTACTGATATGTAGCTAGATTTATGAGATACTCGCCCGCCGTCCTCGTAACTGTATGTCAGACTTAAATTCAATTTCACTGATTGGCTTCTTCCCACTTGATGGAGATGATTTGCGGTATAATGCCGGGTACCCGGAACCGACTGGTCGTCAGGCACTTGTAGCGCCCACGTCAACCGTCTGTTCTAATATCACGTCCCTGCAGGCGACAGGCAGATAACCTCCATAAACTCCTCTCTGGACTTTGAACAAAACGTCATAACCCACCCCACGATAAACGAATTCCATTCCTGGAATGATAAGAAGCGCTGATACGAATCCGGGTAAGAACCACTCGGATGAGGAATCGAGTTAGCTATGAATGAATAGCACCCGGACACCGAGTCGGAGACTTGGGGATATGTAACGAGCAAAACGAGCTAGTTCTCCATCTGATACTCGGTGTAGTACGCAATCCGATATTCAGCGTGATTGATAGAGTTCGTAAGTAGCTCAGTACATGAAACCGTCAAGCAGTAGAACGTGAGTGTTGCAAAAGTACAAGTCATAGGACTAGGTCAAGGATCCTCTCGATTATCTCGCCGGTGAAGCCATAGAGCGAGTATACTGTTCCCTAGTGGTACGTACATTACTCAGTCGGCGCCTATCAGATTCTCTCCCATCATGCACACTGGAGTAACGCTCTCCCCACACCGAATGAGGTTGCTGGCTTGACTCCTCCTCGTCATCTGAGGACGTACTCGAAGACGACGCAGGGTGCCACACGTACTCCGATTTGTTTATGAGACGCTTCTGGTAGGGATGATACGGGGGCAGGGGAGACGAGAAAGGGGATTGTCGAGGCGATGATGGGGAGTGAACAGGGACGAAAGATGCGGCGCCGGGGTTGGTATGATTTCGGTAGTGGCGGCGCATGTTGGAATTCACATTGAATTGCCTACCGCATCCGGGGAATGGACATCGGAATGCTACCGACATGAGTTAGAAATTGAACGTCAGTATAATATGAATGTGACTTACGTGTAGCACCGGTATGCGTATTAACATGTATCCTCAGACTACTTGGCCTATTGAAAGACTTATTACATGTCTTGCAGACGTGCTTCCCGTCTTCCTTGGCGAGCGTGTCATCGTCGTTTTCACCTGCCAAGAGACTCTTGGTGTCACCACGTCGTGGCGACTGCGATTCATAAGGGAGAGAAAGTGTCGAGGTAATGTGTTTAAGGGAGGTAGAGGCGGGCTCGGACCGAAGAACATTGAAAGAGTATTGTGGCTCGCTGTTGGACGGTGGCGGGTGGCGGGCATGGGAATGAATCAGCGTGGGTGGGGCGTGACGGACATCGGGCGGGTTGCGCAGCAGATGCTCTAAAGGCTCTTAGTCAGCTAATAATCGTTCAAGATGGTAAGGATGAAGAAAGAAATACCTGGAAACATCTCGTGTATGCTTGGGAGAGACACTGCCATGTTCATATTCAGTGGTGTAGTGGAAGGAGGAAAACAGCGACGGCACGGTTATATAGTGATGTTCATTCAAGATCGGCGAATATCTGCAATGCCGAAATTGACCCGATCTGGATGTATTTTCAGGGCAAATCCCCTTTCGTGCGGATGTGGACCCATCATCAATGGACGTCTAGACACTAATAGACGGTTTGACGTCAACGCTCGCGGGTGTGCCGGGTATGCCGGACTTTTAGGGACTACGTCGTCGGATATCTATGCCGCCACGGTCCATAGTCGTAGAAAGACTAAGGTATTTAAGTTTTCGATGAAACCTAAAAGAGAGCCAGATCAAAAACGACTCATCAAATACCTTCAGGTATACTACCCAGAGATCGGCATTCCGTTTACACATAAATCATCAATGAGCTTTCGACGTTGTGCCTTGACAAGGCACAACTAGCCAGCCACCATTAACACAACGTCCTACATCAATGACGCGCATACAGAACTTTCTCCGTCATGACGATCATCAGCACACTTGGATAACAGGATCATCGTTCAAGAACAGCCATACGAGATGCAGAAATAGCGCATACCTTCGTTCTGTTAAGCCAGATTTATCCATATCGGATCTGTACGTTAATGAATATTCGGAGGTATAAGTGAGGATTTTAATCTACAGTCAAAATTAGCACGAACTGTGCTAAAGACATACTTCTGCCGAAGCCGCAAAAGAGCAGCAGAACGAGGCGATCGAACGGGGGGACGTATTCGGAAACAAAGCTCATGGACAGAAACACCTTGTTTAACTTATAATCAGGAAGCTGCATTATATACAGAAACATCCATCTTCGCATCCTCTTTACAACTGGCATTGTCAAGGCCATCATTCGTACAGATCCACATAAGATCCGCAATAAGCGAACAGGCCTAAGGCTAGCGCTCATATTCCAAGATGTACCAAGACGGGTCGTACGCGCAACGTTCAATAACGACGAATGAAGATGGGCAGAAATCGAGCCAAGGATTCCGCGATACGGGATTCGAAAAACTAGAAAGTGAACATGGAAGTAAGGAGCCAAAAATAGGACCGAGGAAAGTGACGCATTGTATGCTTTTGTTTACCAGAAGCTTCACGAATCAAAACTTTGCGACCATCACAATGAACCGCCTGAGCCCCAGACCACGTACTGATAATTCTGCTACGTGATTCGAAAGAGTCTCGCTCCTTCTGCTCTGCCTATTATCTCTTTACCATCAAGGTTTTGATGATCCTGACTGCTCCAAGGCCTTAGGCCACAGTTCAGTCTGATCGGTCCCATGATTGCTTGAAGGGCATTGAAGCCCAACTCTCAGTTTTCCCAGGAAAAACTACGATGATCATAGAACCATCGACTTCTCCCATTTCACTGCTGTCACATCGCATCCGTGACAGGTTTGTCGCCTCCGAAGGCTGGAAACTTATTGCCCCGATCATGTCTTTCGACCAAAGCGCGCATGATAAAGTGGGCCCCGAAATGTCTTCATTCCTGGCCAACGAATATCCTCCCATTGTCTCCGTACATACAAACGATAAATATCGCTTTTGTTCTCCAGTTATCAACATCCGAATCGACAATTGCTTTTCAACCGCTGTCAGTGAACAAAGTGCCACGCCGGGCTTAGAATTCTTCGCTGTGGTACTGCTAGTACTGCCTACCACTTTGGCATCACAGAATTGACCCAATGCTATGTGGAGTGTGAAGCTGACGCTGGATATCGCCTCGAGACTGCCTTCTTTGGCGGTATCATGGGCGTAGCCTTCCGGAACGGCACTGCTCAGGACCCACAGCTGCCGGATATCGCATATTTCATACTACGTTCTCCTGCGGGGAAGGTTTACAAGATTGGTAAGTATTCCCATTCGTGAGCTCCGTCTGGTTATAACAATCTTACATTATATTCATACAGATATCGAGCGAGCTGCTGCTTGGATTACGGCCACGGAAGGAACGATTTCCCCCTTTGATCTTGATAGGCTGGAAGAACTATGCATGGACGGTCAGGATTTCTTGATGCATACTTGCGCGTTTGTGAACGCTGCATGTGCACCTGTGAACATTCAGCCTCGCCGACATCGTAACGCATCATACAGAGCTAATGGCCTGATCATATTGCCCTAGGTTGTTTGCATTCACTGTAGCTGCTATTGTCATTTACGATTTTGATCAAATCAATTTGGGTAAGAGGATTTTACGGGCTCGGTTCTTGAGATCGGAAGCTCCACGAAGTTACGCGATGAAGACATAAATTCTATCACAGAATTGTAGTAACTGACTTAAATTGCAGTCTGGCTGGACGTAGCTTCCTTGCTACCGTCCTCGCCTTCCTTTCCTCCGGTAGACACTTTGATATCATTGAGCACCTTTTCCCAATTCTGAGAATCCACCGAAACGTGGCGAAGCGGAGGTTTCTCTGGGTAGTGTTTCTTTTGGATATCCTTGAAACAGGACCAGTGGTAATAAGAACTGCGCTTCAGTACGCGATCCTTTAACTGGGTGTACCACTTGTCAGTCTGATATCAACAAACCGCTTAAAACATACTGTTTTCTCGTTCCGCTCATCGGCGTCATAGGTGCTTTCTCCAGGGACAATGCGAAAGGCCTTGAATCCGCCGAAACAGATTCTTTTGAACCCGAGAATTCCAGCTGCGGGTAGCCCCTGTACAGGTTCTGTAGAAAGAAACGGAACATAAGCAGGAAGAACGCAGTCAACAAATCAAATCGACCTACCTTTGCAAACGGAGCAGCTCGGAGGACTGCCAGCGAGACCCGGAAAAGTCTTGTTGGGCTCAAGGAAGATGACTTGGTTTTCTGAGGAATTAACTTCGTTCATAATCCTAGCTTTCTCAAGATCCATCTCTTTCCTGTTATGTGGAGGTACTTTCTCCGGTAAGATGATTTGGACCCCTGGCGGTGCCTCGATTCGCAATGTATGCCTCGCTGCGCGCAGTACATTCCGCTCGTGCTGATCAAAAGGGTTAGCACTTGTCGGAATACGAAGACGCCACATATGACGGTGGTACACACTCTCAGTCGATTCTTTTCCAACTTGACTTTGCGGGGCTTCTTTTCCTTTTCTCTCCTCTTGTGGTGGTTTCCTGAACTTGTCCTACATTACTTGCCGAAGAAGTTGCAGCGCTTGCGGTCCCGTTCTCTGTATTGGCGCTTGTCGTGTTATATATACACGCGGCTGCTGTTGACTGCGCCGTGGTATCGATGGGAACATTTTCGTCGGCAACATAAAGATCATCGACAATTTGTGGTATCGGAGCCTGTTCCTGTGCGTTCGCCTGAGGCTCGGCGACTTCCAATTGTGGTTCGTGAAGTGTGGAATTTTGTGGTTCTGATTAATCATATCAGTAACAACAGCGTAAGAAGTAGAAGTTAACACACCCTTATATATGGGATTCGGAAACAGCGGCGGCGGCGCAGCCGCTTGCCTGCATTCAGAACCCTCCTCTTCGATAAGGTTCAGCTTAGGATTGATGGTGACTATAACGTGGACGTTTCCTGAGCCATCGTCGACTGCACTCTGTTTAGGTGCAACGAGGCGAAATTTAGCCGGCAATGGCAGCTCTGTGGCGATATCGCTAAGATTACTGAGATTGGCTGTCCAGCCTTGAGATACCTGAAAGATGGAGAGGTTTTCTTTTGGCTGCAGGTGAGATATGATATATTCAGTACCACGTAATAAGACCAATCATGAAAGTCGCGTACCTTCCAAAAGCGAATTCTTTCAGGCTCCATGGCACGTTGTGCTTCCCTACGGAGGAGTATCTTGAAGAATGCTCGCAGATGTCCGAAGGGTAGAGCCATCTGTTGTTTCTTCATCGAAGTTACTAGCACGCAGTCAAACGGATGGCCGGGCGAATACAGAACCCAGTTAATGTCGATTTCAGGGTCGCAGTCTGACCCTGCGCTCGGATTCACAGACGTTGACTCGCTCAGAGTTTTCGGCGGCAGCTGATACGGATGCGACATTGCGTCTTCTTCCTCGGTGGTGCTTGGCAAGAATAAAACAGATAGGTGCCGTGACACTGTGTCGTCTATCACGGGATGTGACAGCGGCGTAATGTGGTGGTAACTAGGGCTTCGCACCGTACCGTATACGGTATACGGCCGTATAGCCACGGTACAGTGACGGGCGACGGCTGGTCCGTAACCGTACCGTCAAGGCTCTTAGAACTAGGTTGACGGTACGGTACGGGTATATAGACGGCCGTTGAATAATACATACCTGATATTTGGGGCTTCGGAGCAGCTTCAGGTCTTGCCATGGGCACGTCGTCATCTGCATCATGATAAAATTGATTTTCGAGGGGGATTTCAAGTTTCCGTTGGCATCGAGGGCACACTTATCTGTCATGATGCTCAGAATGCGGTCGTAAGTCTGCAAAAAAAAAGGACTCTTTCGTGAACTCCTCTGGCTTAAAATTCAGCAGTATTTGACAGATGCACAGGCCAGCGGGGGCCAAATTATTGCGCAATATGTGCGGGTAGTCAAACTCAAAGGATGAAACAGTAGTAGAATAGAGGCAGCAGAAGCAGGAAATAGAAAGTATTCTATGCTGGTAAGGATTAGAGCTTGAGTAGAGCGAGTGAAAGAAGATCGGGTGGTAGCGCTGAAGAGCTTGCGGTGCCAGCACATCGTGGTACGATGTTAAGTGTATAGCAAACACGCGTACAGCATGATCTGATGATGGTTATTTTTAGATACATACACGGCCGTCGATTACCGTATGACGGCCGTGTTTATACGGTTGCTAACGGGATACGGGATGTCCATATACCGTCCGTCTCTGGGCAAGTTATTTTGTCAGACGGAACGGGTACGGTACCTGTATGACGGCACCCGTATAACCGTACTATACGGTGACGGTGCGAAGCCCTAGTGGTAACCAGAGACAGCCGCCGACGGCACCCAGCCAAGCACGGCTGCCGCTACGGCCCATCGTTGGTGAAAGATCTCAGTCTTCAAGGTAATACGTCTTACCATTGGGATTTTCGATCACACAACAAAAGTTTGGAGGTCCTGGCATCGTCGTCAAGTAACCCTATGGGTCGCAAGACCGACGCTGAGAAGATTTGGGTCGATTCTCCGACAGATCTTTCAGCGCTGCTCAGAGACGATTGTCGTATATTCCTCAGCTCACTATGTTTTGCATATCTCGGATTTACATACGTCCAAGATACCAATACCTTCGTGCAGAGGAGCCCTTTCCTAGTCGATTTCTCTCTTATCATGACGATATCCAAGGGAGAAACAAGTTCGTACTTTACTAAAACCTTCACACATTGACTTATGCACTAGCTCAGTTTTTTTCCCCACTAAACCGGCTTAAAAATCTCTCTATGGCATCTGGCGCTGTGAATTAATTAATTTTTTCACTTCAAACAAACATTCGTAGTCCCCTTTGGCAATGACGCCTTGAGTGGAACAAGGCGATTTCAGCAACTAAGTACTAACAGATGTATTCAAATGAACAGCAATCTCCCAGTCAGGGAGGTATAGGTCCTCGAAGCATGAGCGTAAAGATTCAATTTCTCGCTGGTGCCTGATGACTTGAATTGATCGTTATATTCAAAGGGGAAAACGATGCAGCGTATATCCAGTGGGTAAGCATTAAGCATTAGAGCATAGATGTACAAAAGGTCAAGAATGAAACAAAGAGAACCCATAGAGTTTAGGACCAGGTCAACGAGCCCTTGAATAAGAATAAACCACCGGCGCAGCTGCTCCATAATCATATGCATCCCTTGTGGGATGAACATCACTGATAGAGTGTGCATCGAAGTCTCTCTCCTCATCCCGTCTGCGAGAGCAACGGCGATCTATCACGGGCCGAAAATTATAACTGGACACCTCTTCATTATCAGAGGACGTATTCGATGGTGGCGGCAGAAACCTTATGTGTTTAGATAAGTTTATGTCATGTTTCTGGTACAGAAGGGATGAGTGAAGGCGAGACGAGGGAGGTGATGGTGATGACAACGGAGCTGGGACGCAGGATGCGGCGCCGGGGTTGGTATGGTTTCGGTAGTGGCGGCGCATGTTAGAGTTCACATTGAATTGCCTACCGCACCCGGGGAATGGACATTGGAATGCTGCCGACATACAATTTGAAATGGAATACCATTATAATGGTAGGAAATGTGACTCACGTGTAGCACCGGTATGTGTGTTAGCATGTATGCGGAGGCTACTCGGTCTATTGAAGCGCCTATTGCACACCGTACAGACGTGCTTCCTGTCTTGCTCGTCAAGTACGCTCTCTCCCTCTTCGCTTAACATAGGCGTAGACTCGTGGCGAGGCAGTGAGCAGGACTGCAGCTGGTACGGAAGGCAGGGAGGCAATGCAGTATACCTCAGTGGGGCAGAAGCACAATCACGCCGGAAGACATCGAAGGAATATCGACTGCGGTTGATATGTGGTGGAACGTAGCTGTAGGGAGGGATCAGCATCGATGGGAAGTGCTCCACTTCGGGCGGGGTGCGCGGCATGTGCTCTGCAACTCACTGATTAGGCAAATATTTGAAAACGACAACGATGAAGTATAAATACCTGGAAATATCTCGCGTATGCTGGGAAGGGAAGCCGTATTGGTCATCGTGGACGATGGAACAGTTGAAGAAGAAAGAGCTAACATCCATCACCAGTAGACTATATAGTGACCTTCTTCCAGTTCGGCAATTATTCGCAGTGCCGCGATCATACATGTATTTCAGGAACCAAGATCGAGGGCAATCATTCTCTTGGAAGCTCCTGGAAACGAATTCGCTATGGGGCAGTGCTGTAGATCCATCATCAATAGACGTTTCGAAGAAAGCGCCCGCAAGGGCACTGGCCATTCATTATCATGAATGAACCTAGGACCGTGACATCGTGTACGGAGCTGAAACAGTAGTAATAGTCAAACAATGTGGTATGATGAGCTAGAACAGGTCTCGCTCTATTTCGATCAAATTTTGACATTTACGCCTACAGTGATCTTTGATTAGCAAGAATCAATGCAAATAGCACGTCCAGAGTGATCAACACCCACAGCTCCTCCGTTCTTTCTTGCCTTATACGCGCTTTATCTCAGTCGAGCCATCACCACTTGATCCCCGTATTGAGTTACTACGCCATAGCAGACATATAGCAGACATACCACTTGTTGTTCACTGGTAGCAGAATGCTTGACATATGTTGTGCCATAAATGAAAGTTTACGGTGATTGACACGGACCCGCTGTCTTACTAACTATCAGCAGTAATTGAAAGTAAGGGAGGACATGCCACGCTCGTTGGAGCGAGCCACAGACATACTTGTACTAGAAAGGTGCCGTCGACATACGTCTGCCAAGTGTCCACATCGGCGGTAATAATAGGTATCCTCATGCGCCGGTAGTAATGATCGTTATCACACGTGAAGGACATCGATCGATGAAAACGAGCTGGTGTACTCATGTCGCACTGTAGATGAAGTCAGTACGATTTTACTGTAAGCGCTAGCTATTTTCACACCTGGAACATACCTAGACGGATCCACTATTACACAATTATTCGTGCCGTACCTGCAAAGATATGCCACGAATGATGGGGGGACAGAAGGTTAGCGCCGAGGCTGTAGTGGTGTTGGTCACAATCAGTCCTAACCCTAAGTCAGCTCTGACTCACGAATACAGCAACAGACGCACCTTCAGCCTTGATTCCCTTGCCCAATCCATTCAAGGATGGCAGGATCACCGCTCAGTTCTAATGAAAATATCAATGGGCGACGACCGTCGAGTCTAGATTCAAGAGTGGGAGAGCGATGACAGAGAATCAAAATTCAAACACGGAGAAACGCAAGAGAAACGCAAAAAGAGTGTCGGTATTTGCTTACAACCTCTCGGACCGAAGGTCTTCCTGTCCGGGCCGTCGCTTTCCGAACTGTTCCAGGGTACCGATCTCATCAATGCCAGCAATACACGAATAATTTCATGGCACACGAGTACGATTTACCCAAATACAGGGGAAAAAAAACCAATCAATCAGCGACTGTAAGTAGGTATACTCAAGCTAACAAGTAAGTATAAGTTTATCCGATTCTATTCAAAGTCATCCTTTCTTTCTCGAAACACAATATCTCGGAAGGGCGTTGATACAATGTAAAAGGCATCTTCAATGCTTTAACTAAGAAAGTCAAGTTCGAACCTACTAATCAGCACGGGCTAGATTGTCAAACATTGATTCCATTCCATGTACACAACATACATCTGATTGAGATCCGTGTCTCCTGGGACGCACGAACCAAAAAGAGCACACCTCAACCAAGAGGCGCGTTTTCTCCTACCTGATACAATACACCGCCCACTCTACCTTATAGTTGCCAGGTATCAATTCATTCCAAACACTCCACTCCACGTGCATTCTTCCCGTCAACTCCAACCGGCAAAGTTCAACGCAAAACTTCCGTGGGACCTCGCACATGACATGTTGCCGTGTGGTTAGGCTATGGGAAACATTGGAACAGCATGAATGCATACCGGCCCATGAGGAACTGACGCTAAGAGGTTCTTCCCACGTCAACTTGAACGCTTTTCTGATATCCCTGTTCATTCCCGGCCTCCTCGCCGAATCTCTTTCCGACTTCTCCACATAGCACCGTGTAACACATTTCTGGCGTGGGTGTTGATAACGATAAGTCAAGCCGCCGTCCAGGGCGCGGGTATATTATTGATCTTCGAACAGTGAACTCAACGCCTCCTTGCCAGGACGCATCACAGTGTCGTTCATATAAAAACCGTATTTTTATACTACCTTGACATAAATGCTGAGAACTACGTACCGTGAGACCAGTTCTCACCTCACTCTCGTAATATTAGGCAGTGGTTAGCTCCCGACTCCACCAGCGCCGAATTATCCATTGAGCCTAACCGAAGTTATCGATCTACTACAGACGATGGGAACAAAGCGCAGACCTGCCCTGGAAGCAGGTTTGAACGGAACCGGTTTTACAAAGAGCAACCCTTGATAATTGAGTTTTCGAGCGCTGATAAATTGAATAGAGCACTGACAGGTCGAAGATCCGTCTGTAAAGGAGATTGCATAGTCCGCCCCAGGTAAAATGCAGGATGTCCTTGCTTTCGTAAATTGAAACGTGGCCCTCTGAACGACGGGGCAGCCGTAAGTCGCGCAGGTGCCCAAGCTGCCTTATTCCAAGGCGTGAACGTTCATTCGTGAAAAATGAGGCATCTTGCTGGAAGGATATCAGACAAGCCATAGCTATTAATACGCCAATCACTTGTCCCGTCCGTTTATCCATAATAATATGCTTACAGTCCTGGGAGGCAACTAATTAGTGCCCACCAAAATGCAAGGGAAACAATTGGAACGTAGATAACATCTCGACCCAGGCTTTCGACTCCAGCAAAAGGTGTCCGCTTTACCATTAAGGAGAATCCCGACGCCTTTTGCTATGACCGAAAACCTTGATCAGAATTTAATTTGTTCACCCATCTTCACAGGTTTTTATCCCGTTTGAAACTGTCGCTTACCAGGAGTGTTAAGTACTAGGACCCTGGAGGCTACGGCCGGTTGATGGCCGGTAGCATTTTTATATGCAGAGTTCCGTAATACTCAATATCTCCTACACCGCCGATCGTAGTATGCAATAAATTATGTGAACACCTTATGACTCCAGCCATCATTCACCTTCAATTTTTTTTCCTTCGAAATGATGACTATTAACCGTGAACACGCGAATCACTACTTGGAAAAAAATATCCTTTCTTCCTTCCCACATTCCAGAATGTAAAAATCAAACACACCATGGCCATGAAACTTGAAGGAAAAAAGCGAAACCATTTAGGCATGGATATACAACACGTGGGAGGATTGTGCCAAGTCTATACTTAATACAAGTCACCGCAGATGACGCCTCGAGACGGCAGGACAATAGCTTTTTTAACAGCGGTCTTTTCGGCAGGCGACGCGCGTGCAGGCAAGAAACGACGCGCAAACCTCGGAGGACCTAAAGATAATTTAGCTAGATAGTATACAAAGGATTAAGTTTCAGATCTGCATTCAACCGAATCCCCCTAAGCTCACGACGACTTGTGATAAGGCGTATAGCCTCAAACCACCATCAGCCGTCGGATTTCTGTTAGCTGTCAAAGACCGAGCTCTGCTCATGGCAACCGTCACTGTTTTCGTGGCAGAAACTGGTTTTTCCTGTGCACGCAAAGCCTGAGAACAGGAAGTACTTCGCGAATGATTACTTGAGGCGTACTTACAACATAGCAACTGCGCTCACTCCGACTGAACTTGCATTATTTACTCGTACCCTAATTCTCTTGCCATCCCTGAAATTACGTGACAATTCCAAATCCAGCCTCTTGTCGTTTCGCATCCAGCGCAACGAATCTGGCCCTTTTTTCATAAATTGACGCAGAGATACCTTGTAAAACATGTAGCCCTCTGACCAACACGACGGTCGAGATCTCTCAGGCAATCAAGCACTTTTATTGGTATCTCGTTCACAGCATAACTAATACATGATGCCTAAAGTCGGATACAAATACAGCTGAGAGAACAATACATATCTCGGCCAGTTATCCAAGCGCTCGATGTGTTCCACATTTATGATTGAAACAGTGCTGCGGGTTGAGAAATAGCTATGGTGGGCATTAGACGCGCTACCCTGGGAAGGAGGGTGAGAATATCACAGCGAGCATGCGCCCTGCCAATAGATTAGGACCAAGTGGCGCAGACTCGCACGGAGGGGAAATAAGAACGCGTGAGGAAGGAATCAAATTCTCGAGGAGCATATGCGGAGTGATCTTTGCCTATGGCATGTGCAAAATCGAGCGTACCATCTGTTTCTGGTTTCTAGACCGCTGGACATCACCTTCTTTATCCTATCCCTCATCAGCTAATCAGATTACTTTGCAATGGAATGGCAGTCGTGCACATTTAACACGTAAAATCTCTACGTAAAGAATGCCGTGCCATAAAAGTACGCGTCATCGCCGTCCAAAACCAAGACGAAAACGCGTTACGTACTTTCATTGCTCCCATTCTCGCCCTATCATCTTCTAATCCCGCCTTTCATCTCACTCCGACAAACCCTTTGGTTATTTGTCTGAACTTGAAACCGCCCGCTTCCCAGAGAATCGACTACGCATGCTCGTTGGGTATACAGCACCCTAAACTCCCGGCGCGCTGTCAATCCTCCATGAAGGTAGAGCGGGCTCATCTACCGGCTCCGAGGATCCGGGATTCGT